GTGTTCTATGGGGTTGAGGTCAGGACTCTGTGCAGGCCAGTCAAGTTCCTCCACCCCAAACTGGCTCCTCCATGTCTTTATGGACTTTGCTTTGTGCACTGGTGTGCAGTCATGTTGGAACAGGAAGGGGCCATCCCCAAACTCTTCCCACAAAGTTGGGAGCATGAAATTGTCCAAAATGTCTTGGTATGCTGACGCCTTAAGAGGTCCCTTTGCTGAAACTAGGGGGCCAAGCCCAACCCCTGAAAAACAACCTCCAACCATAATCCACCCTCCACCAAATGTTACACTTGGCACAATGCAGTCAGGCAAGTACTGTTCTCTTGGCAACCACCAGACACGTCCATCAGATTGCCAGACAGAGAAGAATGATTTGTCACTCCAGAGAACACGTCTCCCCTGCTCTAGAATCCAGTGGCGGCGTGCTTTACACCACAGCATCCGACGCTTTGCATTGCACTTGGTGATGTAAGGCTTGGATGCAGCTGCTCGGCCATGGAAAGCCATTCCATGAAGCTCTCTACACACTGTTGTTGTGCTCATCTGAAGGCCACATGAAGTTTGGAGGTCTTTAGCTATTGACTCTGCAGACAGTTGGCGACTTCTGCGCACTGTGCACTTCAGCATGCACTGACCCCGCTCTGTCATGTGACGTGGCCTACCACTTGGTGGCTGAATTGCTGATGTTCCCAGTTTCTTCCACTTTGTTATAATCCCACTAACAGTTGAGCGTGGAATATTTAGTAGCCAGGAAATGTCACGGATGGACTCATTACACAGGTGACCACCTATCACGGGACCACGCTTGGAGTCACTGAGCTCCTGAGAGCGACCCATTCTTTCACCAATGTTTGTAGAAGCAGTCTGCATGCCTAGGGGCTTGATTATATACACCTGTGTCCATGGAGGTGATTGGAACACCTGAATCACATGATTTGGAGGGGGGTCCCAATACTTTTAGCAATATAGTGTATATGTATGTGTGTGTGTGATTCTGCACTTTTGCTTACTCAGCAAAGGTGGGAATAAGTTCCATCGCTTCCCTTAGTCAGAGCACCTGACACAGAACATGGGCTAGGCCAGGGGTGGGCAAACTTTTTGACTTGAGGGCCGCAATGGGTTCATATATTGGACCCGGGGGCTGGACCAAGAGTAGATGAATGATGTGTATGTGTCATCCATAGTAAGTATAGTAATATTCCCCCATAGTAAGCATAGTAATTAATCCCCCATATAGTAATTCATCCCCCATATAGTAATTCATCCCCCATATAGTAATTTATCCCCCATATAGTAATTTATCCCCCCTATAGTAATTCATCCCCCCCTATAGTAATTCATCCCCCCTATAGTAATTCATCCCCCCTATAGTAATTCATCCCCCCTATAGTAATTCATCCCCCCTATAGTAATTCACCCCCCATATAGTAATTCATCCCCCCTATAGTAATTCATTCCCCATATTAAGTCCCCCCTGTGTCAATTCACTTACCTTTGCTCCGCGCGTTCCTCTCGCCGTGTTCCCGCGCCGTTCTGGTGTAGCATGAAAATCTGTCTCCTATGAGGATCTGTCCCCCTCGACGTATCTGCCAGTTTCAGGCATTAGCAGCCGATCGGCGATCTCCGGCACATGCGCAGATACGTCGAGGGGGACAGATCCTCATAGGAGACAGATTTTCATGCTACACCGGTCTTCAGGGCGGACTGTGAGAGGAGCCTAGTGGGAGCCTAGCTCCGCGGGCCGGATTAAAAGGTCCGCCGGGCCGTAGTTTGCCCATTGCTGGGCTAGGCACACAGTTAACCCTTTGATCGCACTAGATGTTTAACCCATTCCCAGCCATTAGTACAGTGTCCGTGCATATTTTTAGCACTGATTACTGGTGTCACTGGTTACCACAGTGTCAGAAATGTCCGTTAGTGTCAGATTGTTCACCGCAGTATCACGGTTACGCTATAAGTCGCTAATCTCCTCCATTACTGGTATTAAATAAATAAAAATTCCAGTATATATCCCATAGTTTGTGGACGCTATAATTTTTGCACAAACCCAACAATATACACTTATTGGGAGGGGGGTTTTATGAAAAATATGTAGCAGAATACATATCGGCCTAAATTTATGAAGAAATTAGATTTTTTTTACTTTTTTATTGGAGATGTTTTATAGCAAAAAGTAAAAGATGATATTGTTTTGTTTGTTTTTTTGTTTTTTATTTTATTGTCGGCATTTTTTTGATTATAGCGCAAAAAATAAAAACCACAGAGGTGATAAAATACCATCAATAGAAAGCTCTATATGTGAGGGAAAAAATTGATCTAAGTTTTATTTTTGTACAGTGTTGCATGACCGCCCGCAATTTTCAGTTAAAATAACGCAGTGCCATATCGCACAAAATGGCCTGGTCAGGAAGAGGGGTAAATCTTCCAGAGATCAAATCATTAAAGAACTATAGGCAGAACTTTTTTGTTTTTTTTCATTGTGGCTAGAGTAAGGCCGGCCATACAGGGATCGAAATTCGACCAATTTTTCATCCAAAAATCGGACCTAAGGATAATCGGCTGATTTTCACTCTGTCAGTGGGTCAATGGCACCGGCCGTTTTTTGTGGTTCCTCTCCTTTTCAGTGGTCGGGCATGTTGGAAAATTTGTGAAAAATGACCGATTTTCAATTCAATGATGGTCAAATCGTACGATCGTTTTTCCGAAAAGAATATGCGCATGAGCCGTGATCTGGAAGGAACAGAAGTTTTGCCTGTTATATGGGGTGAACTTTTATGACTTGGTCGGCTAATTTTCGAAATCAATGATGGCACCATCAAATTACCGAGCGAACGATGTTTCCGATTTTCAGACGAAAAATTGTTCGGAATTCGAACCATGTATGGCTGGCATAGGGGAAGGTTATAACCCCTGTCAGTTTTTGTTTTTTTGTCATCTGTCTCCTATTGGATAGATTTCTTTACTACCCATCCCATAACCAAACAGGAAGTGAGTGGAAATCCCTGCAAATTAAGGGAATTCCTTGGGGCCTCCCAGGGCACCAGAACTAGTGTCCCCATTGGAAGATTTCCCCTCTATTACTTTTCTAGGGACAACCCAAAATTTGGGATTTTCTTTTGCTGATAAAAGTAAACAGAGAGAGGGTGAATCTCAATAACAAGGGCACAGACAGCAGTAAAAACCTGACCGGGGTTCTACCCTTTCCATTCTATCCAAAATGAAGAAAGTTTTGCCTTTAGTGACAATTTAAAGTACAACTATAGGCAAAACCTTTTTTTTTTTCATTTTGGATAGAATAAGGGAGGGTTATAACCCCTGTCAGCTTTTTTTTTTTTGCCATCTATGTCCCATTGGAGAGATTTCTCTACACTTCCTGCTGCATAGCCCAAACAGGAAGTGACAGATAATCCCTGCAAAGTGAAATTAAATTCCTTGGGGACCCCCAGGTCCCAATTGGAAGATTTCTTCTCTTCCATTTCTGGTGAAAACCCAAAATATGGGATTTTTTTTCACTTTTGGTGACAAAAGTTAAAAGGACAAATAGGGAGGGTGAATCTCCCTAATGAGAGCACAGACATCAATGAAAACCTGACAGCCAAAACAGGAAGTTAAAGGAAATTCCTGCAAAGTGAAAGGAAGTTCCTTGGGGGGGCAGATTATGAGAACTAGTGTCCTCATTGGAAGATTTCCCCTCTATTACTTTTTCTGGGGACAACTCGAAATATTGGATTTTTTTCACTTTCACTCTTGGTGACAACAGTAAACAGAACATATAGGGTGACTCTAGTGGGGGTACAGACCTCAATTAAAACTTGATGGGTACTAATCCATCTCCATTCTATCCAACATGCTGCATTCAGTAGGCAGCAAACCTACTAAATGTGACTAATTCAATCCACCAGGGAATCGCAGCAACTGCATGCAGTGTACGTGGTTGCTGCATGTTTGTTCAGCAAAGATGGGGTTAAAAAAGGCAGTGAGGTATCGGCACATCACCTCATCGACTGTCGAGCACCTCTGAAAAGCAGTCCAAACACATAATGCTCTTCAGAGGAGCGGCAGGTTTAAACGCAAGGGCCGGTTCACACTGGAAGGCGCATGTCCCATTTTTGGGCAGCCCATTCATTTCAGTGAGCACACAGAAAGACAGGCGTGACCTTTGATATAAATTGCGCAAACACCATGCGGTGGTAATGCGTTACCGTGCACTTTGCTGGACGCACACACGTTGTGTTTGTTAGATGCATTTGGGGTTCCATTAACAATTAAGGGCACCTGGTGGGTATAACAAGGGTAGGACGTTCCCATGTAGTGTCAGAAATGTGCCGTTCCTGCACCGTGTTCCGTTGTGAATGGGCACTAAGGGAGGGCTATAACCCCTGACAGTTTTTTTTCTTTTTTTTTTTTTTTTTTTTTTTTTTCTTTTGAAGTCTGTATCCAATTTGGAAAACTTCCCTTTACTTCCTGTCTCAGAGTCATAACAGGAAGTGAGAGGAAATCCTCCAAAGTGAGGACCAGAACTGGCCATAAATAACGCTTTTATCACTCTTTCAGTGACCCGTAAGGGTACCAACAATTTTGTCCACAATTTTCCATGTTCTGTACTTGTTTCTGTTCCCTGTTGAACACACACAGAGACTGTTCAGCATATTTAACCCCTTCCCTGCCTACCCCAGCATCTCTTAAAATAGTTCAGAATTCCCCGGAAGGGGCAGTCTAGGAAGAACGTATGGTCATGTGACCGTCAGAACCTCGGACCGGTCTTTGACAGCTCAGTTTTAGGGCTCTCAGCACATTAACATTGCCCCACCCCCCAGTGACGTGTGTAGGAGTTAAAGCCCTCTCTTTTACCGCCACACATATATTTTGGGTGTTCGTAAAGAGGTTAAATATCCATAAATAGTTTGAAATATTCAGAGATATACAAGCTGTAGGCACCTGTACAACTTCCTGTTTGTTTTTCAGCTACTGATTAGGCGCTCGACCTCCTCAGTGTGAATATGGCTCTTTCTAAGAGGGAGCTGGACGATTTAAAGCCATGGGTGGAGAAGACTGTGAAAGGATTGCTGGGCATCCCAGAGCCCACATTAGTCACTGCAGCCCTGAACTGTGTCGGCAAGGGAATGGACAAAAAGAAAGCTGCTGGTAAGTCATCCTTCTACACTTTATTGGTATACTTTTTATATTACTTGACGGGTTCCTGAACTCTAGGAGCTCTTTGACACCAGTGTTGCTGATTGAAGAACAATTTGCATTTAGGTTGCTCTTCAGAGTGCATTTGACAGGCGGTCAGGAGGCGTTGTGTTGTCTTCTCACTGCCTGCTTTGATCCCCACACTGGCTCACCACAACCACATGCATTGCACACAGTTATGGGGTGCTTGTAGAGTAGCCCTATTTGCTTAAGAGCTACTGGGTATAATTTTTGCCGTGAAGCAAAGCATCGTGGGCTCGGCTTGTTTACACCCCAGGCGGCTGCCTCTGCATCTATACAGGGAGCAATTGGGGTGGTGGTGGCAAAAACATGGCTAAGGCATGGCAGTTTACCACCCCCCCAACATCAGGCATGAACAGAGCTCGACAATTCCTGAAACCGCGACTTGGCTCCTGGGCCCCCACTAGCCCACATTGCCCCGTGCTCCCCTGCTCCACATCCTTTGCCAGCTCTCCTCCCCTGCCCCACAGTTGAGCCCAGCTTAGGGTTCTGGGACCCTTGGAGTCTCCTCCATCCTTCCCTGTGCACAGAGTCCAGGTGATGCACAGTCTTGGACAGCCCCACAAAAGCCGCTCTCCACCCCCCACCCCTCCCCCCAGAAGATACCGTAGGCCCGCCCCCACCACACAGCCACCCCTGTCAGAGAGCCCATGAAGCCGAGGACGTCACCACTCCCACACCGATCGCCCCATCCACACCACTGGACGAGTGCTCGGTGGGTGGCCAGCCGCACACCAGAGCCTTTCAATGCTGTCTTTAACTGCTGCGGTGCTCCCCACTGGAGGACCGGAGTCAGTGGGAACACAAAGTCCCGCCACCTGTGTGACAGCAGACAGCCTCACTTCCACCATGTTGCCGACCCACAACAACCAGGCTGCCCCTCCTGGAACCAAATCCTCTCCATTGACACCATCTGGAGGATCCACAGCTGGACAGGTGAGAGCTGTCCCACTGCCCCCCCTCCTGTGATGCTTCCCCTCACCTGTCTTCCTACCTCCCTCCTGTAACACTGCCCCTTACCAGTGATGCTGCCCTCTCTTTTGATGCTGCTCCTTAGCTGTCTTTCTACCCCCCTCTTGTGACACTGTCATCCCTCTTGTGATGCTGCCTCTCACCTGTTTCCCTACCCCCTTGCTGTGACGCTGCCCCCCACCTAGCCCACTGCCCTCTCTCCTGTGATGCTGCCCCTCACCTGTCTCCCTGTCCCCCATTTGTCTCCCTGCTCCCCCTCCTGTGATGCTGGCCCACTGCTCCTTTTTCGTGATGCTGCCCCCTCTTGTTCCGCTGACACACCACCACATCCACCACCACCTGGCTCCTTTCTGTTTTAGCTGGCTCCTAGTTTCAAAGCAAATTTGAAAAGCCCTGTGTATAAATAAGCTTTTATGGGATGTAGAGTTCAAAAAACAATTCCATTGGGTTCTGATTGTTGGACTTCCTATAGAAATAGCCACTAAGAATATTTGTATTATTTCTCTAAATCAAAAAACTATGCGCAGTCACTATCAGGGCGAGTATAAATATGAAGCAATTACTCAATAATCCTCCAGTAATCTACCAAAATTCCAATGATATTTAAATGTCTATCTTTTTCTATATATACATACAGTTCCAAATTTTGTCATGTTACAACCTAAAATGTAAATGTATTTTATTGAGATTTTATGTGATAGATCAACACAAAGGGGCACATAATTGTGAAGTGGAAGGAAAATGATAAATGGTTTTTCAAAATTTTTTACAGATAAATATCTAAAATGTGTAGCATACACTTGTATTCTGCCCCCTTTACTCTGATACCCCTGACTAAAATCTAGTGGAACCAATTGTCTTCAGAAGTCACCTAATTAGTAAATAGAGTCCACCTTTGTATCATGTAATCTCAGTATAAATACAGCTGTACTGTGAAGCCCTCAGAGGTTTTGTTAGAGAACATTAGTGAACAAACAGCATCATGAAGGCCAAGGAACACACCAGACAGGTCAGGGATAAAGGTGTGGAGAAAGTTTAAAGTAGGGTTAGGTTTATAAGAAAAATATTCCAAGCTTTGAACATCTCATGGAGCACTGTTCAATCCGTCATCTGAAAATAGAGTATGGCACAACTGCAAACCTACCAAGACATGGCCGTCGACCTAAACTGAATGGCCAGGCAAGGAGAACATTCATAAGAGTAGCAGCCAAGAGGCCCATGGTGACTCTGGAGGAGCTGCAGAGATCGACAGCTTAGGTGGGAGAATCTGTCCACAGGACAACTATTAGTCGTGCACTCCACAAATCTGGCCTTTATGGAAGAGCGGCAAGAAGAAAGCCATTGTTGAAAAAAAGCCATATGAAGTCCCGTTTCAGTTTGTGAGAAGCCATGTGGGGGACACAGCAAACATGGAAGAAGGTGCTCTGGTCAGATGAGACCAAAATTTAACTTTTTGGTCAAAAAACAAAACGCTATGTGTGCTGGAAAACTAACACTGCACATCACCCTGAACACTATCCCCACCGTGAAACGTGGTGGCAGCATCATGTTGTTGGGATGCTTTTCTTCAGCAGGGTCAGGGAAGCTGGTCAGAGTTGACGGGAAAATGGATGGAGCCAAATACAGGGCAATCTTAGAAGAAAACCTGTTAGTCTGCAAAAGACTTGAGACTGGGGCGGAGGTTCACCTTCCAGCAGGACAACGACCGTAAACATCCAGCCAGAGCTACAATGGGATGGTTTAGATCGAAGCATATTCATGTGTTAGAATGGCCCAGTCACAGTCCAGACCTAAATCCAGTTGAGAATCTGTGGCAAGACTTGAAAATTGCTGTTCACAGACGCTTTGTATTCACATTATGTATAACTCAAAACGTTCGTAATAAACTGCGCCACAGATTCTTCTACATAATGATCACAAAGTTCTTCCAAGTAAACATGAAAATATACATTTTCAAGTTCTTCCAAGTTTCCATTGTGACAATGATTCTCTAGGATATCGGGTGTGGAAATTTTTTGAAAAAAAAACTAATTGTCTAGGGACAAAATCAGTGCCCCAATCTACTTGTCTCTCATGACAATCTACTTGTTCTGATAAAAAAAAAAAAAAAAAAGAAATTTAACCAAAACTGTATTTAAATCGGGAGGTTATATTAGGAATGTCTGGGGCTTTTAAAAACAAAAGGGGCTTTATGGCAACTTAAACGTGTAATATTTTTAACATTGCGCTGTTTATCTCCTCCTCTCCTCCCTGCCTGTCTGTCTCCGTCACCGCACCCGGGGATTGGCAGGGAGGGGGGAGACCTTGTAGTGTAATGAGCACCAATTGGGTGTTCGTCAAGTCAAGGAAAGGAGTGTGTCAGGCTTATCCTTTATCCCATTCGCTGCCAGAGCTGTTCTTGCGATTTTTGCACACGTTTAAAAAAAAAATAATTTTAAGGCCTGAAGATTACACAAACCTCCAACACATTATATATTTTCTGAAAGCAGAGATCCTAAAGAATGAAATAAACGGTAGTTCCAATGTTTTATGTCACACGATATTATCACAAAGGTCTAGGAAACGCAAAATATCAGTAAAAAATACACTTAAGTTGGTTATAGGGCACAAAAAGCAATTATCCATTTCTTTTGTAACATATAAAAGATGAGGTTGCATCGAGTAAATAGATATCCAACATGTCAAACCTTAAATTTGCGTGCGCTAGTGAATCGGCAACAAACTTTAGTATCCTATATTTTCTATAGGTGTCGCTGTTAAAGCCCCTTATAGGTCATCAGTTTAGCTTTACAGAGGAGGTCTGGTGCTAGAATTATTGCTCTCATTCTGGCATGCGCGGCATTATGTGACATGTATATCACAGTCGACGTTTTCATGTGTAGGCATCCCAGTGCGTGCTTTTACTTTTGTACGTGCGTATATGTGAAGGTGGGGGGTCCTGGAAAAATTTGGGGGTTATATGCTTGGGTGTAACTTTCAATTTAAAAAAAAAAAATTTTTTTTTTTAATCACATAGGGGACAAAAAGTCCACTATGTGATAATTTTTGGTGACAGGTTCTCTTTTTGGAGACAAAACAAAATCAGGAGATATCCATTACCATTCCCCACCAAAATGAAAGTCCAATTTCTCCTGAAGGTATAATCCACCTGGATGCACGAAGTAGTTATGATGATAGGTACGGTTTTTACTAACACGTGAAAGTTGCAAAATTGTGCTTAGGCTTTAAGATTTGTTTTATCCTTTGGAGCGAAGGGGTTAATCACGACTCGTGACTTCACTGTCTGCATACACACCAATCAGCCATAACATTAAGAACACTGACTGGTAAACTGAATAAAATTGAGTATCTTGTTAGAATGGCAATTGGAAAGTGGGTGGGATATATTAGGCAGCAGGGGAATACGTTGTTCCTGAAGTTGATGTGTTTAAAAGCAGAAAATGGGCAAGCGTAAGGATTTGAGCAACTTTTGCAAGGGCACAATTGTCATGGCTGGATGACTGGGTCAGAGCAACTCCAACACTGCAGCTCTTGTGGGATGTCTCTGATCCGTAGTGGTCAGGACCAACCAAAAGTGGTCCAAGGAAGGAAAACTGGTGACAGGGTCATGGGTGGCCAAGGCTCATTAATGCATGTGGCAAAGGTAAGTCTGTGTAGACTGATCCAATCAAAGAGCTAATGTAGTTCAAATTTCTGCAAAAGTGAATGCTGGTTCTGATGGAATGGTGTCAGAACACACACAGTGTGTTGTGTATGGGGCTGTGTAGCTGAAGATCGGTCACAGTGCCCATGATCACCCCTGCCCATTGTAGGAGCCAAAAAGTGCTTACAATGGGCAGGTGAGCATCAGAACTGGACAGCAGAGCAATGGAAGAAGGTGGCCTGTTCTGGTGAATTCAAGAATGGTTTGAGGTGTTGACTTGCCTCCAGATTCAAAACCAACTGTCCACCTGTGAGCCAATACAGTGAATTCTCTGCAAACACAACCCAAAAATATTCAATAAACATATATTAAATCAAAAAAAAATTTTTTTAGGTTCACAAACACATCACACCAACTCATACAATAGTGTCAACCAATATATAGATAAATATCGTGCTGCGCTCCTCTATTATTATCATCAAAAAACACATTGATTACGTGTAAAAAACAAACTAAAATAAAATCTAATATAAATAAAGTGTGAAAAAAACAAAATGTGAAAAAAAAACAAATGTCCACTGTGCTTTTACAATCCCTTTATACTATGGAAATAAATGTATCATTGTATATCCAGAGACTGATACATAAGAGTCCTCCTTTCTTTTTGAGAAATCTGTGCTAATTAGATGAATACACTCCAGGTTCCAAAAAACTTTTGCAGCATGAATACAGCTCTATCATGCGCTCACCTCCGTCTCCAGCCTCAACAGGCTAAATCACGCAGTTTATCCTATAAAAGGATGAAGTATATGCTTGGCTGCTTATCACCTTCAAACAACCTCTCCAAACCGCAGTTTTTCCTGGTTAACCTGGTGTCACTCCTCTCCTCCTTATCTTGTATGGATTTATGGGTGTGTGGATGGATGAATCTTCCCCCCTCCTCCCCTCCAGGGGAACAATCCTCCAGAATTACTCCAGCAAACTCCACATATATAATTGCAAAGAAAAACAGAAGATAGTGCTTTATCCTTATAAAACTCCTTTTGTTGCCAAACTCTGTCACACTCACATTTTCATTAAAATAAAAACAAACAAGCCTTTAAGAAGAAAAGGTAGCAGTGTGTTAACACACAGTGTCTGTACTCGCCAGAAAAGCCGACTGCACGCGGTGACGTCAGAGCCCCTCCCCTACGCGTTACGCCACCGGTCACGTGGCTTCATCAGGGGGAAATGAGCATTTGTGGAATGTTCTGGCAAAACAAGTCCGATCCATGGAGGCCCCTCCTTGCAACTTATAGAACTTAAAGGATCTGCTACTGGCGGCTTGGTACCAGATACAACAGCATACCTATAGAGGTCTAGTGGAGTCCATGCCTTGACGGGTTATGGTGGGTTGTCATAATGTTATGGCTGATCGGTTTATATTTTATATCTCTGACTCACTAGATAGTGAAGCAAGAATGGGGACGATGGCTCCAGAGCTTTACCTATAAAAATGTCTATTTTCTGTGTGTGTCAAGACGATTAATCTTTCATTACTTGTGTGGTTAATCAGTTAGCTCATGTAATTATTGTCTGGTTGTTTGTTTAAGAAGCAGTTTCTGATATCGCCATTCTCCTGTAGATCATCTGAGGCCATTCCTTGACGATTCCACAATGCGTTTTGTTGACAAGTTATATGATGCTGTCAAGGAAAGCCGAGGCTCTTCAAGGCATTCAAAGTCGAGCAGCGATAGAAGCCGAAAGAGAGAAATGAAGGTATGGGGTTTACTGAGGTCACACAGATACTGTGTACAAAGAGCTGATGCTTGACTTGGCTGAAGAAACACGGTTAGGAAAATACTCCAGTTACTGCTACACCCAAAGGATGGGCTGTTCTGGCTGACAACATTTTGTCATTTCCTGGGTGTGTTAAAGCTGGCTGGCCCCTTTTTGACTTCTGCGTATTTCACTTGGTTAGCGAGGCAGTCCTTCATAGGGATAGGCAAATAGATGTATCTGGGAGGCGGTTCAGACCTTTTCTTCAGAATGACCCAACATTGTGCTGCATCACTGGGGCTTGGAGGCTACTGTAGGTATAGGCACCTCTGTGCCTGCTGTTTATGCCCAACAGCAATGTTTGTTTTTTATTCTTTTTTTGAAGAGTGGTGGTTGGGGGTGAAAAGGCTGATTTAAAAGATAAGTTCACATCTTTAAAAAAATAAAAACAAATGCATATTTTTTGCAGGTAAAATAGTGTGGATTTGGTTTTTTTTTTAGGAGCCTGTAAAGCAATGCACCCACGATCAGATCACGGGTGCAGTGTCAGGCTCCTGCAGACTGTCAGTACAGCTGTCTACCCACACCTCCCGTACAGGCAGGCAGAGGTCCAGGCAGATCGATGATGGGAGTGCTCACCAGCGCCCTCACAGTTCATTGAGAACTACAATTCGTCTGCTGCAATGGCTTATGGTACTTGTAGTCTATTAATTCACAGGAAACTGTGAAGGAAAGATGTGGCTGTGTGGGCGAAGCTCTGCACTGTTGCACTATAATTGAATTGTGGCACTTGGGGGGGGGAGGAGGATCCCCCACACGCTGTCACAATGGCAGCTCAGGTTGGGGTGCTGGCAGGTGCTGTAGTAACATGTTACACCCTGAATATTCCTGTAACATGTTACTAAAGGTGAACTTGACCTTTAAATGTCTGAATGGTTAGGTTTCAGTGATTGTAAAAAGAAAAACATGCATTCGCTTTTATCTAATTCTGGATCCCTAGGCTTATAGAAACACTAGGTCATTCTTCTGTGTATTGCCACACTGTATCTCATTTCCAGAACCACATGGCAGCATGTTTGAGAACATTTGCTGTATGTTGTGATTTGGCATATTTTTTAAACTACCAATTGCTGCTTTTCAGGGGGAAGAGGCATCAGGATTGACTTACACTGCTGAAGCTGAGATGTATATATATGCAGAATGCACAATTATTAGGAGAGTTGTATTTTTGAGGAGTGATTTCATGCATGAACAACTACAGTGCTCTCGGTAAATCCAAAATGTTAATAAATCTCAAACCTGAATATTTAACCTCTTCATGCAGACGCCTCCCAGCCCTTTAAGAGTTTCAGAAGTTGGGAGGAGGGGCGGAGTTAAGGTCATGTGACTGCCGTGATGCTCCGTCACGGCGGTCACATGAGTACCGGACATGTGTGTGCTGAGAGCGCGCAGGGCGCGCGCTCTCTGCACATATGTCCTTTTTTAATAGAACGCAAATGTGCGGCCGCTCGGCGTCTAGGCCCAGACGCCGGGAGGCCGCACATTTGCGTTTTCGGCCGGTGTGAAGAGGTTAAGATAGTAAAAGTGAGGTTTTGGTTTTCTTAGGAGGACTATCTATGTGTGCAGAATTATTGGGCAACTATTAGTGTGCAGAATTATTATGCAACTAAATAAAAAAAAACTTCCTTACCTTGGCCATGTCTCTGAGCACTGAACACCTTGTACTTCTGGGCACTCCAGGTAGGTTGCCTGTCAGTATATCTGCCTGCCCTTACATCCCATACAAGCAAAAGCAAGCCGATACACTCTAACAGGAGGAATCCACGAACTACCACAGCACTCACAGCTTAGAGGTAGTTGATTGAGAACTACAAGCCAACAGCCACCAAGGCTGTTGGGACTTGTAGTGTTTTCATTCACAGAGAACTGTGAATGAGTGACCCAGCCTTCCGGCCCCGCTTGGCCGCATTTTTAAACATTTCTCACATTTAGCTGGGGGGGGGGGGGTGGAGAAAGCAGGGGAGCGGGGCCTGGTCCTTTCATACCATGTAACAAGTTATAAAAGGTGAACTTATCCTTTAAATTATAAACATTTTAGGCTTCTAAAAAGTGCCATGCGTCATTTAGACTGGACTGAGTGGCACCTGAATTCAGTGTTGCTTACTGAAGCAAAGAGGGACAAAACATGTGATTTCTCAGTTATAATGTGCTGGATTCACACCCCCTGTTTTCTTGTTTCAGGAAGTGTTTGGAGAAGATGGGGACTCTAGGGATTCCTCTAATTCAAAGAGGAAAAAGGGTACCACGATTTGAAGAAGTGGAAGATCCAGAAGTGATCCCTGGTCCCCCATCTGAGAGCCCTGGTATGCTGACCAAGATGCAGGTAAGCTGGCTAATGTGTGTAAAACCCACAGGTTTAAAGTCCATGACAACTGGGCATTGCATACAATGCATCTTCAGCCTCCGGGGAACTTTCAGCTTTCACTTATAACAGAAGATTTGCACTTGGCTTCAGTGGGTGACTTTTAAAAGCCAAGTACACCTTAGCCATCTCAATACCAGAATGTTTATTCATTTTCAAAAAATTGTGGCCAAGAAAAAGATCACCTTGGGGTGCCCACTTTTCATAAAGGGATCATTTGGGGGATTTTCATACTGTCCAGGCATTTTTAGTCGTGATGTTTTGGAAAGTAAGGAAAACTGTTTTTGTTTTGTTTTTCTTAAATTGTTGGTTCCTTTTTTTCCCCTTTTTACAGTGCCGAAAATTGGACTGGTAAAGAAGTGGGGTGTACTGTGTGGTATTGAGATGGTTAAATAGTTATAAAACGCCCTAGATTTTTAAAAATTGAAGACCCTAACTTTTAAAGTGGTAGTAAAGCCACTTCTTTGATTTTTTACCTGTGGCTTACCAATAGGTACAGTAAATATCTCCTAAACGTGCCCCGTTTAGGAGATATTTACTTTTGCAGCAGCCGGTGACATCACCATATCTGTGCCGTTCCTTCAAAGAATGCAAATGAAAAAACAAATAGAGGGCGCACCGGCCTAGTGCATTATCGGATAAAAATATTTATTGAAAGAATAAAAAAGTAGGTATCATACTCACAATGGACATATAAAACATAGGCATATCACAATGAACAAAGGTGTTCAATCAATGTATTATCTGAGTCCGCAACAATGGAACCCTGGATGACCAACTTGCTGACGCATTTCAAGGACTCAGCCTCTTCCATTGTGAGTACGATACCTACTTTTTTATTCTTTCAATAAATATTTTTAAACGATAATGTTCTAGGCCAGTGCGTCCTTTTTGTTTTTTCATTTGCATTTAGTGACTTTGGACTACCCGGTCCGTTGAGGGCAGCAAGCAGTGCATATTCGAGAACATTCACATTGTCTTTCCAGCCTCTGCTGAGTCCATCCCCAGCGCAGGAGTAAAGTTTTTGCTGTGTTTGATTTTCCATTCCTTCAGAGCTCTGTGCCGCAGCTTTGCATGCGCGAGAGTGACGTCATCCCGGCTCAGCCATTCATATGGCTTTTGGCGCAGTTTACGACCGGTGTAGGTGGTTTGCTTAAGTAACACTTCATAAAATTTTTCTTATTTGTTTTGTAGATTAAACAGATGATGGAAGTGGCAACCCGACAGATTGAAGAGCGGAAGAAACAGCTGAGCTTTGTCAGTCCTCCATCACTGGTATGGCTGGGATTGTTCTTTTATTTTGTTTTTGCCATCACTGTCATGGTTCATCATAGTATGAATATGCTACAAAACATAGTACTCACAAATAGTTCATTGGGCACTTCAGTCACTGTATGTGACCCATTGCCCTTTTGTAGCAAAATTATTTCTCAGGATACAAAGGTGACCAATGGGGTTTTTATTGATTTCATACCATTCTCTCACTTTCATTTTTAATTATGGATACTTAGAAGTCTTATCTTTATTTTGTCTTTCTGTTTGATATTGAAGTTGGGCTAGCATGGTTGACAGTATGTTCCCCACTGCTGTTTAGCCACACTGCTTACAAAAAGACGAATGTGTAATAAGCACTGATTGACAGTGCTCGTCTATGACAGCAGACACACAAGCACCATCATTCGGCACGGCAGGGGAATGGATCAGCACAGATTATATGAATCCCAATAATAAATGCGGCCCCTGCGCTTACAATAATCAGTCAGTGCTCTCTGAACTGTGTGATCTAGCTGCCAGTAAACATCCACTGCACAGTGCAGGCTTCACTCACTATAGTAAAGGATCAGTCGGCAAGGTGTGGTTTACAGTGGATATAAAAAGTCTACACACCCCTGTTAAAATGTCAGGTTTCTGTGATGTAAAAAAATGAGCCAAAGATAAATAATTTCAGAACTTTTTCCACCTTTTAATGTGACCTATAAACTGTACAACTCAGTTGAACAACAAATTGAAATCTTTTAGGTGGAGGGAAGTAAAAATAAAAAGCTAAAAATAATATGGTTGCATAAGTGTGCACACCCCTAAACTAATACTTTGTTGAAGCCCCTTTTGATTTGATTCCAACACTCCGTCTTTTTTGGGGATGAGTCTATCAGCATGGCACATTTTGACTTGACATTAGGCTATATTTGCCCACTCTTCCTTGCAAAAACACCACAAATCTGTCCAATTGCGAGGGCATCTACTGTGCACAGCCCTCTTTAGATCATCCCACAGATGTTCGATCAGATTCAAGTCTGGGCTCTGACTAGGCCATTCCTTTCATTTTCGTCTGGTGAAGCCATTCTTTTGTTGATTTGGATGTATGCTTTGGGTCGTTGTCTTGCTGAAAAATGAAGTTCCTCTTCATGTTCAGCTTTCTAGCAGAAGCCTGATGGTTTTTGTGCTGATATTGACTGGTATTTGCAACTGTTCATAATTCTCTCTACCTTAACTAAGGCCCCAGTTCCAGCTGAAGAAAAACAGCCCTAAAGCATGATGCCACCACCATGCTTCACAGTGGGTATGGTGTTCTTTTGGTGATGTGCAGTGTTGTTTTTGCGCCAAACACATCTTTTGGAATTATGGCCAAGAAGTTCAAGCTTGGTTTCATCGACCATAACACCTTTTCCCACATGCTTTTGGGAGACTTCAGATGTGTTTTTGCAAAATTTAGCCGGGCTTGGATGTTTTTCTTCATAAGAAAAGGCTTCCGTCTTGCCACTCCACCCCATAGCCCAGACATATGAAGAATACGGGAGATTGTTGTCACTGGTACCACACAGCCAGTACTTGCCAGATATTCGTGCAGCTCCTTTTATGTTGCTGTACGCCTCTTGGCAGCCTCCCAGACCAGTTTTCTTCTCAACTTTTCATCAATTTTGGAGGGACGCCCAGTTCTTGGTTATGTCACTGTTGCGCCATATTTTCTCCAATTGATGATGACCGTCTTCACTGTGTTCCATGGTATATCTAATGCCTTGGAAATTCTTTTGTACCCGTCTCCTGACTGCTACCTTTTAACAATGAGATCCCTCTGATGCTTTGGAAGCTCCGTGCGGACCATGGCTTTTGCTGTAGGATGTGACTAAGAAAATGTCAGGAAAGACCTACTAGAACAGCTGAACTTTATTTGGGGCTAATCAGAGGCACTTTAAATGAAGGCAGGTGTGTACTGACTCCTATTTAACAGGCTTTTGAATGTGATTGCTTAATTCTGAACATCTACGTCCCCAGTTAGAGGGTGTGCACACGTATGCAACCACATTATTTTAGTTTTTTATGTTTACTCTCCCCCCCCCCCCCCCCCCCCAAATATTTCAGTTTGTTTTTCAATTGAGTTGTCCAGTTTATAAGTTACATTAAAGGTGGAAAAAGTTTTGAAATAGTTTATCTTTGTCTAATTTTTTTTACATCACAGAAACCTGACACCCCGTGATAGGGGTGTATAGACTTTTTTGTATCCACTGTATCTGCCAGCTGCTAGTGAAAATCCACTGCAAAGTGTAGCTTGATCTTGCCATAGTAAAGTTTTAGGGCTTCTACCCTACGATTTTCTTCATGGGATGAACCCTCTTTTCTTCAGCTGCGCTTTTAAGGACAAGTTCTCTTCGGTCTGTTTTAGTTTCACATAATTTTGGTCTTTCACTCCTTGATATGTTTTTTAGGTCATCACCTCTGATGTCTGAAATGGCAGCTTTATCCTGCATGGAACCCTTTCTGGTTATGCTTCATGACAAAGGGGTGTTGATGTCCAGGCCTGTCCCTCTCTAAAACTGATTTACCAATAGAAAGTTTCCCCCTAATGTCTGCATGTAGTTCAGGCTGTGAGAGCCTTCACAGCTACTACTTCTTCAGGAAGGTGAATATGCCTTTTGTTTTCTGGTTGGACCCCATATGGGTACCGTGACTTTTCTGTCCATCTTTAGGTGACTTGGGCAGAACGTGATCCAAGCTTATGGATACTGTGCCATGCTTTCCTTTTAAGTCATGCTGTACCAGATCTGTGAGTGCTTCTTGATCTTTTTGGCATCTTGCAACTTTTCCCTGTTTTTAAGGTCCTCTGTTTTTTGTTTTAAGTTTAACCTGATGGATATTCAAGCCTCACCTGGGCGTTGACAAAACCCAGTGTTGGATCCTTCAGGCTGCTTTTTGAGCTACAAACAGTCTGTTTTCTGTTGTTTCTCTCGGCCCTTAGTTGGACTGCTTTTGGATGTCCAGAGTCTAAAAATGTGACCTGCGTCCTTCAGTGGGGGAAAAAAAAAAAGATTTTTGCAGTTACCATTCTTAGCCTTTCTTACTTTTTCTTTTTTTTTTTTTTTTTTTGGAGTATCTGTATGTCAGGAAAAATAAAAACAAGAATGGGCTGTATATCACATGCTCATGTATCTGTGGGCATGCACACACAAGCAGGAAGCTTGGCAGTTGCACGTATATTCGAGTATACACGCACAAATACTGAAAGACAATCCTGATTTCTGTGGGGATCGGGATTTGTTTTTAAACAATGGCCTGCATTTAGGTCAGGTGATTAAAACTGGCCTGCATTTAGATCAGGTGATAAAACAATGGACTAAGTGTTTTTTTTCCACACCGTTTGCCCAGAAAGTTCTTATTTAGACAGATCACTTTTGTGGTTAGAAATCCCTAGCCACCTATAGCCTTCTCATTGGACAGTGAATTGGCATCAGAGAACAAGGATATGACTTTGGGAAGCATTAAAACTCACCCAGGAATTAGGTTTTCTCAGTGTTACTTAGACAATTAACGACATGGAATTTTCCTAATGTACGACACTCTGTTCTGTCTCTTGAACTCAAATATCCCACAGAGGGATTTTTTTTTTATCTCACCTACGTGTTTCCTCCAGTATGGTTTCTTCCTCGGCTGCTTCAGAGAATTGATGATTCACATGGGATCATACTCCAATCTAGTTGGCTTCTCAGAAGCCTCGCTTTGAGCCCATCAGGGAAATTTCCTTGGCTGACTTTTTTGATTGGTGGCTTTTCTTGTTACTAGCATGTTGACAAGACCTGTCCCTGAACTGGTGGCTTTCTATTGTTTAGAGTCTTTCCTGTTTCTCTATAAGGACAAGGTAGTTTTGAGACATAAAAAATCTTCCTAAGGTTAACTCTTCTTTCCACCTGAATCAGCACTTGTCCTGTCTTCTCTTTTACAACTTCCGAACCATCCTAAAGATCTTTCTCTCCAATGTTTGGATGTGATGAAAGCAATGCGGGTTTACCTTTTGGCGACTGCTTCTATTTAAACTCAGATAATCTTCTTTTCTTGCCGGCTGTCTCTCGAAAGAGGTATCCTGTGTCTTATTCCGCTCTTTCTAGGTGGATTGGGCAGGTTACCGCGAAGACTTACGCCTTGAAGGGCAAGGTTCCTCTTTCCTGCTAAGGTTCACTTGACTCATTCAGTCTGTATTCCTAGGGGTTTCCAGCACCAGGCATCCGTTTCTCAGATTTGCAAATACTCCGACCTGCTCCTCGCTTCACACAAATTGTACCAGATGGATGTTCACGCCTCTCCTGACACCAGATTCAGTTGTATGATGCTTCAAGCTTCTATTTGAGAATGGAACCTAATTCCATTTGTTTTTAGACCTGTTGATGTTGTTACTGCGTGGCCCTTCCTTCTGTAATTTTGCTTGGGGATGCCCCAGGCTCTATGATTAAAGGAGCCTGTTTACTGTACGATTAAGAAATAGGCAATTTTTGACATGCTCATAAAATCCTTTTTCTGGAGTGCAGTACAAGACACCATCTCCTTTCTTCTACCATTTTATCTGATGGCTTTCAACAAAACTAAGGATTGCTAGGATTAGTAGGGGATGTGGGCTGCCTCACAATTCTGTTTTCCAGTATCCACTCATCTGAAGGTGATTGCATATAACCTAGAGTCTGTGATTAAAGGAGCCCGTGTTCTGTGCTGTACAAAAAAGGATTTTTACTGGGAAGTTCTGTACCTGAATTTGACTTGGCGTCAGCCTTTTTCAACCACTGGTGGTGGGAGAAGCAGCACAAGGAGCAGTCAGTTGTGCAAGGAGCATGCTGATTGGAAAATGGGAGAGAGATGAGCTTGTCCATGTGCTACATTTTCTTTCATTTTCCAGTTACAAACTGGGGGAGGGATGAGACCAGTAAGTGTAGTGAAAATCAGGTCTCCTGTCCTACCAGACAATTCATTTTGGTGTGGTAGTTGTGCCAATCTTAAAAAAGGATGGATAGAAATAAAAATCATTTTACAGGTAATAATGCATTTTATCTGTGTGTTTAGATGTTTCCCTGGAATTCAGTTTTACCATCTATTTTCCTTTTCTCTTTGCACAGTCCAAAATGTCATCCTCCCAGCCTGAACGGTCCCTCATTGGTAACACCATCCAGCCATCCCAAGCTGCCACATTTATGAACGACGCTATTGAGAAGGCCAGAAAAGCAGCCGAACTTCAGGCTCAAATCCAAGCCAAGCTGGCATCAAAAATTGACCTTTTAGGAACTGCCAATATGGTGGGCTTGGCTAACTTGCATGCCATGGGAATTGCTCCTCCGTAAGTATCAGCTCTTTCTGCCTGTTTCCTGATATTCTTAATTTAAAATACTTAAAAGGCATTTGCCATAATGTTTTGGCTGTTTGTTAGAATGTAACCAGTAAACTACAGAGCCATGTTCATATTTCATCTCTGTGCCTAATTCAGCAATAACACCCCCCCCCCCCCCTTTCCCGAATACCCATTCACTGGGAAGATCAGTGTACTGCTGTTTCTATTCCCCCAGCTCTCTGAGCTTCTAATTCAGCCAAGAACAGAGGATATATAATTTTTTATATCTATAGACCAGGCATCACTAAATGGCGGACCTCGGTCCAAATACGGACCGGGCGACTGTCCTGTCTGGACCACGTTCTGAACATCACTGCTACTGCGCTAAGGATTATTATTGTTGTCACTGACACCAATGATGGGGTCGTCATTGCGGTCACTGACACCAATGATGGGGTTATTATTGTGGTTACTAACACCAGTGATGGGGTTATTATTGCAGTCACTGACACCTATGATGTGGGTTGTGATTGTGGTCACTGACACCAAAGAATGCGCAAACTTGGGTTACCATGTTACTTGTTGATGTGAAGTAAAGCTGTGTGGGATCACTAATATATGTTATTGTCCTTCATAGGAAAGTAGAGTTAAAGGACCAATCAAAACCCACTCCCCTTATTTTGGATGACCAGGGTCGCACAGTAGATGCCTCAGGAAAAGAGATAGAGTTGACCCATCGCATGCCCACTTTAAAAGCCAACATTCGAGCTGTGAAGAGGGAACAGTTCAAACAACAGCTGAAGGAGAAACCTTCAGAAGACTTGGAGTCAAACAGCTTTTTCGACCCTCGAGTTCAGTTCACACCTGCACAGAGGCCGAAACGGGCCTTCAAGTTTTATGAAAAGGGGAAATTCGAGAAAATCGCTCAGAGGCTGCGAACAAAGGTATCTACATTTCCTTTTTCTTAAGTGTTTCCTATACTGGAATCATTCTCCATCCTGCTTCTTTTATTCATAAATTGTAAGCATGTGGCTTCAACTACCACCTATATGCCAAAGACACACAAATCTATCTCTCAACCCCCCACCTCACCCCCTCAGTCTCCGCCCGAATCACACACTTACTGAGCGACATATCAGACTGGATGTCGCTCCACTTCCTTAAACTGAACCTCTCCAAAACTGAATTTCTTGTCTTCCCCCCAGCCTGGACACCACCCCCCCCCATTGACTTCTCCATCACATCCAACAACGCCACCATCAAACCCGCCCCGCAGGCCAGAGTACTTGGTGTCATTCTGGACTCCAACCTATCCTTCCAGCCCCAAGTCCAATCTTTAACAAACTCGTGCAGACTCCACCTCCGCAACATCGCCAAAATCTGCACGTTCCTAACCCCAGAAACCACTAAACAGCTCATCCACTCCCTCATCATATCACGACTCGATTACTGCAACTCCCTCCTCACTGGCCTGCCTCACCGCTGGCTATCCCCGCTACAGTCCATCCTGAATACGGCTTCCAGACTCATTCACCTTTCCAACCGCTCCATTTCCGCCACCCCCCTCTGCCAATCCCTCCACTGGCTTCCGATTGCGCAACGGATCAAATTCAAAATCCTAACACTGACGTACAAAGCCGTCCACCATACTGCCCCGAACTAAATCACCGACCTAATATCCAAGTACCGCCCAGCGCAAACACTCCGCTCCTCACAAGACCTCCTTCTCTCTAGTTCCCTGGTCCCCTCCTCCCATGCCCGCTTCCAGGACTTCTCCAGGGTGTCACCCATATTCTTTAACCCTCTGCCCCAACCCATCAGATTATCACCTACTCTCCTCTCCTTTAGGCGCACCCTGAAAACCCATCTCTTCAGGGAAGCCTACCCCACCCCCTGCTAACTTGCCGACCTCCTCCACTCTTCCTACCACACCATCCCCCACAGCTTTCTCCTCCTGTGCCATCCCTTCCCTCCTAGATTGTAAGCTCGAAAGAGCAGGGCCCTCGATCCCCTTTTGTTTTGCATTGTATTGGTATTGTTCTGTCACATGTTCTGTTCCCCTTTGTAATGTACTGCGCTGAGCGAACTATTGGCGCTCTATAAATACTTTATAATAATAATAATAATAATGTTACTGGGATGCTTCAAGTAGAAATCTCAGGTTTTCTTATGGGTAGAACCCACATCTATTCTTCTGGGACGATAGCAGTGAGCTGTTAGATTCTCTTGACATTTTTGTTCCCATGATCATCAGGACAAGTAGAGAGGAAGTCTCCCCAACAGGTACACAAATGGCAATGGACCCTGGCAAAGGTTTTTACCCTAAAATGTAAAAAAAAAAAATACTTTGGTTCGTGCAACTTTCGTTTTGATGACGGTTCTCTAGGCTCCCTCTGGGGTGGGATCAGGCACAGTTGGCCAGTCACCATTTCTGAGACACTAATTTTTCCCATTTAGATGTAGCAGTGTAAATAAATTCCAGCAGTGTTTGTCATTGGTTTAAAAATTGTTTGTCAAACAGGCTCAGCTGGAAAAACTCCAGGCGGAAATCTCCCAGGCTGCCAAGAAAACCGGCATCCAGGCTTCTACCAGATTAGCTCTAATCGCACCCAAAAAGGAACTAAGAGAAGGAGAAATCCCAGAGATTGAATGGTGGGACTCCTTCATCATTCCCACTGGCAGTGAACTGTAAGTGATTGGTACACAGACCTTAAAGACCTACTTGTGCTGCCATTGCTAAAGTCCTGTAGACCGTTTCCTGTTCATGCAATGCATCATGCATCTGATTTCAATACAGTTAGGCTACCAAGTTGGAGCAAGTGTGGTGTACATAGTTAAAGCTCCCGAACAACTTACTTGATATAGGTCAGTGACTTAAAGGCATAGTTCACCCTTTGCAAAAATTTTATAAATGTGCCAACATTTGTAAAATAAAAAATGTGCATTTATTTGATTTTGCATTGAACTCTGTCAAAAATTGTAACTGCAACAATTGCTATGCAGGCATAGTGCGCAGGCTCCTGTAGAATATTTTCAAGACGGTACATAACAGAAGGTACAGTACAGTACCTCTGTTATGGAGCTGAAGGATGTATATGATAAACTACGAATTTGGTGACGTCACTGCACTTGTGTTCCAATGAGATCTGGAAATCCCTCTGCTGCAGTGGCAGATGGGGCTTGTAGCCATTCCATTCTCTGTGAATGGTTGACACGGAGGGGGGAGGTCTATGATGACACCTCTAAATCCATGGTGCTGGATTTGCGATTCTTTAACACCTACTGCATAGCCCTCAGGTTAGCCCCCTTTGGTGTTTAATGAATTTTGCTGAAAGAAATATTTGTTATTTTAAGGGAGCACCAATGTGGATACATTAACTGGATGTCTAGTCTAGCAGTTTCATGTAATGTGTTTCCAGTCTCTGAACATTTATTGTAACATTGCCCATAGACTTTGGTTGTCTTCTGTTGCATGTCTGCAGCCTGACAGCTTTCTGTAAGATTACTTATACTAAATATTATGTGAGGTCCACAGGTTCTCTTTAGCTCTACAGGTTTTCTTTATGCAGTAGGATCACTTTAACCACTTGAGCTCTTGAGGATTTACCCCCCTTAATGACCAGGCCTTTTTTTGCTGTTTGGTGCTGCACTAATTCAAATGATAATTGCGCGGTCATGCAATGCTGTACCCAAACGAAATTTACGTCTTTTTTTTCACACAAATAGAGCTTTCTTTTGATGGTATTTTATCATCTGTGCGCTTTTTATTTTTTGCGCTATAAACAAAAAAAACACAAAAATCTTGAAAAAAAACCAATATTTTCTACTTTCAGCTATAAAAAATATATCGTAAACTCAAAGTTAGTCATAAATTTAAGCCAAAATGTATTCTGCTACATGTTTTTGGTAAAAAAAAATCCCAATAAGTGTATATTGATTGCTTTGTGTGAAAGTTATAGCGTCTACAAACTATGGTATGATACTGTAATTTATGCCCTTTTTTTGCTATACAGTGCTGCACTAATTCAAATGATAATTGCGTGGTCATGCAATGCTGTACCCAAACAAAATTTACGTCCTTTTTTTCACACAAATAGAGCTTTCTTTTGGTGGTATTTTATCACCTGTGCGTTTTTTTTTGTTTTTTTTTTTTTTTGCGCTATAAACAAAAAAAACACAAAAAACTTTGAAAAAAAAACAATATTTTCTACTTTCAGCTATAAAAATACATTGTAAACTCAAAGTTAGTCATAAATTTAAGCCAAAATGTACTGCTACATGTTTTTGGTAAAAAAAAAAATCCCGTGCATTAGCGGGTAAACTAGCGCGTTATGGGAGGGGCGCTAACACTATCGGAAGTCACCAGTGACACTAATACAGTGATCAGTAAAAATCTGTTCACTGTAATCAATGACACTGGTGACAGGGCAGTGAAGGGGTTAACTGGGGGGGGGGGGGCGATCAAGGGGTTAAATGGGATTACTGCTGTACTGGCGGCCAAACTGGCGCTATCTAGGAGGGGCGCTAACACTATTGGAAGTCGCCAGCGACACTGATACAGTGATCAGTAAAAAATCGATTCACTGATCAGTGACGCTGGTGACAGGGCAGTGAAGGGGTTAACGGGGGGGGGGGGGGGGGCGATCAGGGGGTTAAATGTGACCTAGGTGTGTTATAACTGTAAATGTGTAGTGTTTTACTCACTTTTACTGTGTCTTCTTCTCTGTCTGGAACGGAATGTGTCCAGGCAGAGAAGAATGACATCATATCCTGTCCTGTGTAAACTTCAACATAGGACAGGGACCGATCATCTGATTTCAATCAGACATCACTGGCTGAAATCTAATGATTGATCCCTCCGGGATCAAATGGTGTCACCCGCGGGTCGGCGGGAGTGCGCGCCCCCCCTGCCGCCGAAATCATTGGGAGCGCGCAACCCGTTTTAACCCGTTTTGCGCCTAAGTGCCACCCTGCACACGTATATATATACAGTGGCAGGGCGGCAAGCGGTTAAGAGACAACTGATATATCATTGGAGGATTCTACAGTTCCTATTTTTCAGTAAAAACCTTGTGGTGGGGAACAAAAAAAAATGGAATATTTGTGATTTTTTTTAATTTTTTTTTTTTTTATTAATTTTAGGAGAGCAGAGTCTTTAGCAGTTCGGGAAGAATTTCATGGAATCACAAATCTTGTGGAACACCCAGCACAGCTTAGCCCTCCAGGTACAGTCAGTGCCCAACTTTCCCCAGCTGTGAAGTTGTTGTAGCATGATTATCTGTATCTTAATATACTCTGTGTCATTATCTCAGTTGACAGAGATGCTCCAGTGACTCTCGGGATTTACCTTACCCAAAAAGAACAAAAGAAATTGCGGCGTCAGACGAGGAGGGAGGCGCAGAAGGAGTTGCAGGAGAAAGTAAGATTAGGACTAATGCCTCCACCAGAACCCAAAGGTAAGTGGCAGTGTAGATTTATGAGCTGCTTTGTGTTGGTACTGTCCATCCATATTATGTATGATTTTTTTTAAATCATAGAATTCAAGGGATTTGCCACAAAGTACTAAGTCATGTTTTGTGAAGGGGATCAAATACTTATTACCCTCATGAACATGCTAATCAGTGCATAATTTGTAGACATGCATTTCTTTTGAATTTTTTGTTGCTATTCTGTCTCTGTGTTACAATACACCTACCATTCGATTTTTAGACTGATCATTTCTTTGTGAGTGGGCAAACATTCTAAATCAGCAGGGGATCAAATACTTATTTCCTTCACTGTATGTGTTCACAGTTTACCTCCCTTCAAGCTGGTAAAAAAAATAAATATATATATATATTTTTTTTTTTTATCTCATTTTTATTTTTCAGTGAGAATATCTAATCTAATGCGAGTTCTGGGTACTGAAGCTGTCCAAGACCCTACAAAAATAGAAGCCCATGTCCGAGCACAGATGGCAAAGCGACAGAAGTAAGTAAACATATGTCATCTTCCTATTTTTCATTTTGGGCCTTCCAAACCAACAAATCACTTATAAATACAGCTGGATAACCCAAAAACTGTGTCTTGTCTTCATTTCAGGCTGTAAAGCAACAAAATGTAATTTTTTTTTTTAGGGAGATGATTCTTTTCTATACCCACTGTATGTTTATGATCATGCTCTCCATAGTATTTGCTAGAAAACTGGGCATGCTGGTAGTAGGAGTGGTCATCCTGGGTTGGCTTACATTTTTGGGGGTGTTGCCAGTGTCCAGTCCTTCTGTAGGCAGCAGTATACCTTTTAGTGTGAAGGACATCCTGTGTCCACAACGGACAAGAAAGAAAAGACGTTTGCTGGTTAGTTGCTGTGTGTAATAGAAAATACACAGCCCTTTATCCTACTTAACAAACAAATACAAAATTCAGCTGGGCATAATTATAGCCTAAATAGATTCCTTGCCCTTGCTTAACTTCTTGGCACCGATTCCCAGAGCTGAAAAGGCCACAAAAGATTTCAGGGTGAGTACAAATATCCTGTTTTGTTCTGGCAAGTAACTAATGGAACCTGACGTTTTGTTTGCTCTGGGCGATTGCTCTAATGGACAGATCCCTTTTATTAGGTTATATTCCCTCAGGAACTAGTGCTTTGTATTTAAGCATTTCCAATGATTGTTACACTCTTTTACAGAGCACACGAAGAAGCCAATGCAGCCAGAAAACTAACAGCAGCACAAAGGAAAGAAAAGAAAGTAAAAAAATTAAAAGAAGATATAACACAAGGAGTCCATGTAACTGTATATAGGTAGGCTGCACTGATCTATGCTTGGAAAACTTGTGTGTAAATGACTAGACTGATTAGACTGTTCCAATATACAAACTTGAAGTCCAGTACTGAAAAATATACTGCTCCGCCTCGTTTTTCTAGCCCCCTAATCCACACAAAAAGGTGCTGGTCTGGTTTGCAATTGCAGAAATTTGAGACAAGTGGATGACTATGTACTAGTGCACGGATGGTCCAGAAGTTTTATTTATTACAGGTACCGTATTTTCCGGCGTATAAGACGACTTTTCAACACAAGAAAAACTTCTGAAAAGTCGGGGGTCGTCTTATACGCTGGTATACGGCGAGCCGGTGTCAGGGCGGCACTTTTTCGAGGCGCGGCGCCGCCCCCCCCCCCCCCCCCCCCCCCCCCCCCCCCCCCCTCCTTCAACGGACACAAGGTACAGGGGTGGGCAGAGGGGCTGCTGTACCTTACCTGGCTCCGGTCCCGGTCCCACGACGATCCGGTCCAGGAAGCGCAGCTGCTCCTTCTTTCAGTTCGGCCACTCGATGGTCGCACGGGCAGGCGTCCGCTCGGCTCCGCCTCCTCACCGGTGATTGGGCGCCAGCACTGGAAAGGCACACAGGCGACCAATCACCAGCCAGGAGGCGGAGCCGAGCGGCCCCGCGAAAATCTGAAAGAAGGAGCAGCCGCTGCTCTCCCCCACTGACACCAACGATGGGGCACTATTCCTCCTCCCCACTGACTCCAACGATGGGGCACTATTCTCCCCACTGATACCAATGATGGGGCACTATTCTCCCCACTGATACCAATGATGGGGCACTATTCCTGTCACTGATACCAATGATGGGGCGCAATTCCTGCCACTGACACCAATGATGGGGCACTATTCCTCCCACTGACACCAATGATAGGGCACTATTCCTCCCACTGATACCAATGATGGGGCACTATTCCTTCCACTGACACCAATGATGGGGCACTATTCCTTCCACTGACACCAATGATGGGACACTATTCCTCCCACTGACACCAATGATGGGACACTATTCCTCCCACTGACACCAATGAAAATTCAAAATGCACTTGGCCGAAAACCGAACCCAAAATGCGCAGTTTTTAAAAATGAATATATATTTTTTGGAAAAAAATATGCTTTGATTAAAAAAAAAAAAAAAACAACAAAAAACTACCCCAAATTTTTGTAAAATATGAAAGAGGATGTTATGGCGAGTAAATAAATACCCGACATGTCGCACTTTAAAATTGCGCACGCTCATGGAATGGCGTGAAACTGTGGTACTGAAAAAAATCTCCATGGGTGATGTTTTAAAAATTTCTACAGGTTAGCAGTGTAACGTTACAGAGGAGGTCTAGTGCGATAATTATTGCTCTTGCTCTGACATTCGTGGCGATACCTCATGTGTTGTGTTTTGAAAACCATTTACATATGTGGGCATGGCCTATGTATGGGTTCACCACTACATACAAGCACAGGGGGAAACGGGGGCACTTTAAACTTTTTTTTTTATTTTTTTTTTTTGTTTTGTTTTGCACTGTCCCTTTAAAAAAAAAAAAAAATCATCACTTATTCTTGCATGCATGCATCCCTTGTGATAGAAATAATTAGTGACAGGTCCTCTTTATGGAGAGATAAGGGGTCATTAAGACCCCACGTCTCTCATCTGCAATGTAAAGCATTGGCTCAAAAAAATAATTGATCTAGTGCTAAAAAAAAAAAAAAAAAAAAAATGGCCGGAACCAGAAGTGACATCGCATCTCTGTAGCTGCTGACTTTTAAAATACAGCCACTTACCTGTTCCTCGGTCCAGCGGGGTCCTCACCACTGCTGATTTCACCAACCGTATTCTCTCCACAGTGCCGGCATCTTCAGTGTGGGCACCCGGCTGTGACAGCTTGTGGCTTCACAGCCGGGTGCCCACTGCGCATGTGAGAGAAGCGCTGCCCTTTTCTGATTGGCCCCGTAGTCTTCTGGGACCTGTCACGTGTTCCAGAAAACTACGGGGAGAAAGGGAGGGGGGGCAGCTTCCACTTCCGATTGCCTAGGTGATCGCAGCAGAAGTGGTAACTGGTACCTGTCAAATTTGGGTCCCTGCTCCCCAATGGTGCCAATCCTTAATGGGGAGCGGGGGACAAAGGCTTAAAGCGGAATTTCCCCTTTTGGGTGGAGCTCCGCTTTAAAGTGCAAATCAAAATGAAAGACTTCTTTACAGTAGCCAGTCTGTTGCAGTTGGCTGCCCAGGGTTACAGGTAGAGTTGGGCTGGAGGAAGAAAACTCCAGAGCTGAATGTTCTCACTAACTCGGCTCGGCCTACCAAAGTGAAAGGGAGTGGGGGGAAAAAGAGAAATCTATTACTTGGGCAAGGCAATCAACTGTTGTATGTTTCCAGAATTATGTAACTTAAATGTATGAGAACTGTGAATTCTCTGTTCAATCAAATGCATAAGGAATTTTAACGATTTTTGGTGTAAGCTGACAATTTATTGAAAGATTGAGGTGTTCCGAAAACCCCCACAGTACAATCAGTCTGTATATGCAATAAAGCATGCTTGTTACTCACTGTGGAACCAAAAGGGTTAATCCTCTGCATTGTGTAAAAAACGGTTTGATCCCATCTTCCCTGATCCTCCCCTTCTTCCAGTGTCCCCCTCGTATCTCCTGATAAGACGGACTGAAACGTAGCCATTCTGCGCATGCTCAGTTTAGTGTGTATTGCTAGAGATATTTTTTTTTTTTTTTTTGGAGAGTGCATGTGATCAGCACAGGGCCAATCAGCACTGTCCAGACAGAGGTCAGGGGTTTTGCATCCTCTAAGTGCAGAATAAAACTCCTACAAGCTTTAACATGTGCTCTGCTGAACACTGATAGAAGTCACAAGACTGCTATGTACTGCTGATGAGAAAAGGTATTTAGCAGTTTATATGTACTAAAATAATTGCATTTCCATGTTCTGTGTATTGTGGGAGACCAGATATAGTGAATGCAGGGCTCGGGAAGAGCGGATATAGTGAATGCAGGGTCCGGGGAGAGCGGATATAGTGAATGCAGGGTCCGGGGAGATGGGATATAGTGACTGCAGGGTCCGGGGAGACGGGATATAGTGAATGCAGGGTCCGGGGAGACGGGATATAGTGAATGCAGGGTCCGGGGAGACGGGATATGGTGAATGCAGGGTCCGGGGAGACGGGATATAGTGAATGCAGGGTCCTGGGAGATGGGATATAGTGAATGCAGGGTCCGGGGAGACGGGATATAGTGAATGCGGGGTCCGGGGAGACGGGATATAGTGAATGCAGGGTCCGGGGAGACGGGATATATAGTGGATGCAGGGTCCGGGGAGACGGGATATATAGTGGATGCGGGGTCCGGGGAGACGGGATATATAGTGGATGCGGGGTCCGGGGAGACGGGATATATAGTGGATGCGGGGTCCGTGGAGACGGCGTATATAGTGGATGCGGGGTCCGGGGAGACGGGATATATAGTGGATGCGGGGTCCGGGGAGACGGGATATATAGTGGATGCGGGGTCCGGGGAGACGGCGTATATAGTGGATGCGGGGTCCGGGGAGACGGCGTATATAGTGGATGCGGGGTCCGGGGAGACGGCGTATATAGTGGATGCGGGGTCCGGGGAGACGGCGTATATAGTGGATGCGGGGTCCGGGGAGACGGCGTATATAGTGGATGCGGGGTCCGGGGAGACGGCGTATATAGTGGATGCGGGGTCCGGGGTCCGGGGAGACGGGATATATAGTGGATGCGGGGTCCGGGGAGACGGGATATATAGTGGATGCGGGGTCCGGGGAGACGGCGTATATAGTGGATGCGGGGTCCGGGGAGACGGCGTATATAGTGGATGCGGGGTCCGGGGAGACGGCGTATATAGTGGATGCGGGGTCCGGGGAGACGGCGTATATAGTGAATGCAGGGTCCGGGGAGACGGGATATATAGTGAATGCAGGGTCCGGGGAGAGCGGATATAGTGAATGCAGGGTCCGGGGAGACGGGATATATAGTGAATGCAGGGTCCGGGGTTTAGCAACACTTTAATTATATAAGAATTGTGTTTACAGTGTGTGACTTTTTTTAAATATAGCGCTTGTTTATCTTTTTGTTCCAGTATCCGCAATTTAAGCAATCCTTCCAAAAAATTCAAGATTGAAGCCAATGCCAATCAGCTATACCTGACAGGAGTAGTGGTGTTACATAAAGATGTTAATGTTGTTGTAGTAGAAGGAGGTAAGAGAAGCCATTTTTCTAAAATTTGTCATCTCTTAAGCTGGCTATGCACAGCTCAAATTTTAGCTAATTCTTGCTAAAACGGCTGAAATTCAAGCTGTGGGTAGCCATGACCCGCAACACTTGGCTCAATTAAAGTCAGTATTTTAATCAATTTTTTTTTTTTTAAGGAATATGGGGGAAAATGGGCAGCCAAACAATGACTGCATCCAAACAGATATGGTCTGTTTGTGTATTCAGCCTTTGCCAGATACTAAAGACAATAGCAGGCTGGGGAAATGTCTTCATCTGCACTGTTTAGCTTGAACGGAATTATTTTTGCGTGTGTGGCTAGCTTTAGCTTACATAGCGGATTTTCATGGGGTTAATGGGTTTGGTAAACTTTTCAGTCGACATCAATTTATTTAGGCCTATTTGACACAGGCTTCAGCTTGTGTAAGAGCAGTGTGAACAGCAAGCTTTTTTAAATTTTGAGGAAACGTTTTGCAAAGCTCTCTTCAAGCTTCGAGCAGCTTTCTCCAAGGCTTTAAAGCACACTTCAACTCCTCTTTCGATTTTTTTTTTATACATTGATCTTAAGAGTGCTGATTGCCACTTTAAACAAGCTTCTAACAGGCTTTCAACAAGCGTCAAGTAGTGCGGAAGTCAGCTAGCAGCATGTTTAACCACTTGACCTCCTGAGGATTCCCCCCCCCCCCATCCTGACCAGGCCAATTTTTGCGTTATTTATTTATTTCAGGTACTTGTATAGCGCCTTCAATTTACGCAGCACTTTACATATATATTGTACATTCACATCAGTCCCTAAACCTCAAGGGGTGTACAATCTAAGGCCCCTAACTCACATCCATACATATACATACTAGGGACAATTTAGACAGGAGCCAGTTAACCTACCAGCATGTCTTTGGAGAGTGGGAGGAAACCGGAGTACCCGGAGGAAACCCACGCAGGCACAGGGAGAACATGCAAACTCCAGGCATGTGGTGCCGTGGTCGGGACTTGAACCAGCAACCCTAGTACTGCCAGGCTAGTGCTAGTGCTAACCATTTAGCCACTGTGCTGCCCATGGAGCTGCGTTACTTTAACTGACAATTGTGCGGTCAAGCAACGCTGCACCCAAATTAAATTTGTCCTTTTTTACCCACAAATAGAGCTTTCATTCAATGGTATTTGATAGCCTGTGCGATTTTTATTTTTTTTGCGCTATTTAAAAAAAAAGACCATTTTGAAAAAAAAAAAAATATATATATTTTTTTGACTTTGCTATAAAACACGCCCAGTAAAAAAAATTAAAATATCAAATGTCACCATAAATTTAGGCCAAATTGTTTTCTGCTATGTCTTTGTTTAAAAAAAAAAAAAAAAAAAAAATCCCAACATGTGTAAATTAATTGGTTTATGTGAACGTTATAGCGTTTACAAATGGTGGTATATATACTGGGATTTTTTTTTTTAATTTTTACTAGTAATGGCGGCGATCCGGGACTTATAGCAGGACTGCGGCAGGCATTCTGACACTGGGGGGGAACTGACTTTGTGTCACTGACATCCCCAAGTGACGCCAATACAACGATCAGTACTAATAAAATGCACTGACACTGTACTATTGGCACTGGGCAGGAAGGGGTTAACATGAGGGAAGATCAAAGGGTTAACTGTGTGCGGTGTGTGTGCTTCACTGTAAACGCACTGCTTTGCATGTCTCTGCTATTCAAAGCCATGCATAGCAGTGTGCAGGAGCTGACGAGAGAGAACTGTATTATTTTCTCCCTCTGTCGGTAATGCTCCTTGATCACCGGGTGCCGGTGAGTAATCACTGGCCAGAACCCTGCAATTGACAGCCGAAGCCATGAATAGTGGTGTGGGTAGGGCGCACGGCACTGCTCGCGCGCGCCCCCCTTACCTGCAAAATCACATGTATATACGTGATTTTGTGCACCCATGCCACCCTGTAGCGGTATTACTGCTATAAGGGGGACAGGAAGCAGTTAAAGTGGCAATCAGCATGCTCATTAGTACTTTATAAGCTTCAACAAAGCTTGATGAAAGCTCTGCAGATGCTTTGTAAAGCTTGGCACTTACACTGCTCTTCTAATAGGCTGAAGCCTGTGTGTAACAGACCTTTTAAGATACACTTGTATATTTCCAATATTATTATTATTATTATACAGTATTTATATAGCGCCAAAGGGTATGCTCAGCACTGTACAATAGTAAGGGGGACAGAACATGAGACAAGACAGTAACAATACAATACACGAGGGGTTCGAGGGCCCTGCTTTTTCGAGCTTAAAATCAGGGAGGGGAAGGTGGCACAGGAGGAGATGGCTGTGGGGGATGGAGTGGCGGGAGGAGTGGAGGAGGTTAGTATTTGGGGGAGGTCGGGTGTTAGGTGAGGTTGGGGTAGGCATCCCTGAAGAGGAGGGTTTTCAGGGTGCGCCTGAAGGTGAGGAGGGTAGGCGACAGTCTGATGGATTGGGGTAGGGAGTTCCAGAGGATGGGGGAAGTCCTGCAATCGTGCGTGGGAGGAGGAGACCAGGGAGCTAGAGAGTAGGAGGTCCTGTGAGGAGCGGAGGGCACGGGTAGGGTAGTATTTAGGTATCAGGTCAGTTATGTAGTTTGGGGCAGCATTGTGAATGGCTTTGTAGGTCAGAGTTGGCAGTTTGAATTTGATGCGTTGGGCAATCGGGAGCCAATGAAGGGATTGGCAGAGGGGGGAGGCAGATGTGGAGCGGTTGGTGAGATGCCGCTGATGGTCTAGCCGCTGAGTTTAGGATCGACTGGAGTGGGGATAGCGCTCGTTTAGGTAGGCCAGTGAGAAGGGAATTGCAATAGTTCAGGCGTGAGATGATGGAGTGTACGAGTTGTTTGGTGGTGTCTGGGGTGCACCTTTTCAGTTGTAACAATCATTTGAAAGCGATGGTCATCTGTGCGTAGTGAAATGTATATTTAACCCTGCTTTCATGGCTGCGGAGATGAGCTCTGTTGGCCTACTCCATCAGTCTTTTTTTTTTTTTTTTTTTTTTTTTTACACTGGCCAGTACTGATCCATAAATGTGCACCGAGACAAAGCTGGCGACTGCTCAGTGTTGATGAGCAGGAAAAAGGGTCTGCATATGTAATGAACTAAGAGGATTGCTCTCTTGTACAGCCCGATTCCCTTGGTATATCACGGATATTTATCAGTTTTTAAATTACTACAAACCTGTCTTTAATTCTTTTTTTTTTTTTTTTTTTTTTAGGACCTAAAGCTCAGAAAAAATTCAAACGACTGATGCTTAATCGAATAAAGTGGGATGAGCAGACAGCAAATACTAAGGCAGATGGTTAGTATGACAATGTTAAAGCGGTAGTAAACCACAGCAAAAGAAAAAAAAAAAATGGGCCCGGGCAGTTTACCCTCTTCACACCGGCGCCTCCAGGCTCTTTAAGGGGTTTCAGATGCTGTGTGGTGGGGAGATTTTGGGTCATGTGACCGCTGTGATTCGCTGTCGCAGCGGTCACATGATCGAAAAAGGTCCCGATCACAAGGGGAGATCGGGACCTTTCTGTGAGACACCGACATATGTGCTGGAAGCACGCAGGGTGCGCGCTCTCAGCACATATGTTTTTTCAAATGGTACGCAAATATGCGTCGGGCCCAGCCGCCGAGAGGCCGCATATTTGCGTACAGTCGGCACCAAGGGGTTCGTCATAACGTGCTAGTATGCACTGCACATTATGACAGACTTACCTGAAAACGAAGCCCTTTGCGCTGTCACTGCTGTAAGCGCCTCCATCTTCACCCTGTGTTCCCTCCGGGTTTGCAGGCTTCGACGGTATGAATTGCTGAGCTGCGATGATGTCACTCCCGCTTATGTGTGCGGGAGTCACTCTTTACGGCGCATGGCTCTGAAGGAACAGCACCAATATGCCGTTCCTGCAGAGCGCACGTGTTATAGAGTTATGCAAATACTGTGACCCTACTTGCATATGGTAATATTGCATTGCCTTCTACTTCCTGTTTCCTGTTCTATGCTGACCTGGATGCAGTTCTGTTGTACAACATGATTCCTCACACCAGCCGATTGTGTTGTCTCCATTCCTGTACATGAAACAGCATGTGCCAGTGACATGACCAGAGTAAATATCTCCTAAATGGGCACGACTTATTCTAGACTTACCTATAGGTAAAAATTCAACCAAGGGCATTTACTCCCACTTTACGCTTTAAACCCATTCTGATTTTCCAGTTTATGAAACCCCATGAGACTATCATTACTTGATAAAATGTATGGATGTTTTCAAGCTATTAGGGGTGCATGGCTTTTTCAAAGTGAGTACCGATGCTTTTTTTTTGGTTGATGCCAATTACTGATGCCTATATTTTATATGCGGTGTGGTGCAATTTGAGCCCATACAAAATGAATGGGCTCAAATCACACTGTAAAGAATGGCATGCAATTTCAACAGGAATGTGGTGCAATTCCTATCCGAATCACATGCGGTTTCCCGCACCGCTCCTGTGTGAACCCAGATTCTTTACCGTGTGATTTGAGCCCATTCATTTTGTATGGGCTCGGATTGTACCACACTGCACGAAAAGGTATCAGTTTTAGGTATTGGTGCATTTGCACCAGTACAATCTCTTTTGCAAATGCTTGCTATCGGCAGAGATACCAGTATTGGTGCAATACTACAAACTATATTTCCGTAGACAGGTGGGTGGATTGTCTTATTTTAATTTTTTTACACTCACAGGGTCTTAAAGCGGAGTTCCACTCACACTGTAAAAAAAAATAAGTCAGCAGCTACAAAAACTGTAGCTGCTGACTTTAAAAAAAAAACAGCCAATCACATGTCCCGTGATTTTGTGGTGTCCTCCCCACAGCTCGTTTCACCGGCCGTCCTGTGTTCCAGGCGCCGGCATCTTCAGTGTGGGCACCCGGCTGTGACATCTTGCAGCTTCATAGCCGGGTGCCCACTGCGCATGCGCGAGAAGCTCTGCGCTTTCTGAATGGCACCGTAGTCTTCTGGGACCTGTCACGTATCCAAGAAGACTACGGGGAGGGAGGGTAGGAGGACAACTTTCGCTTCCAGTTGCCTAGGCGATCGCAGCGAAAGTGCGAGTGGGTACCTGTTAAATTCGGGTACCCGCTCCCCAAAGGTGCCAGTCCTTAATGGGAAGCGGAGGACCAGTCTTTAAAGCGGAACTTCCCCTTTTGGGTGGAACTCTGCTTCAAGTTTATTAACAAAGGATGAACTGATATCTCATTGGTTATTGTTCTCTGGCAGTTTTAGCCTGTATAAAGGAAGCTATGAAAAACCAGCATGTAACATGTAGCAGATATTGTATGTACTCTCCAGCGCCTCAGGATATGCACAGCCAAAAGGGAAGCCAAGGGTACCAGGACAGCGACAACCAAAGGAAATGTTCCAGGGGTGCAGCCCTCCTCAGACGGGGAAATCAGCCACTGGATATAGAGAAAACAGGTGGCGCACACACCTAGTCCATTATCCAAGGTTTATTGTAGGAATGAAATAATAAAAACATACTCACAGACGAAGCATGTATCTAAAAAGCATAGAAAAATGACAATGGCCACAACGGCGGGCAAGGTGTTCTCACTGTCAGTGCGGTCAAATGGCTGACGCGTTTCGGGAACGAATCCCTTTCCTCAGAGCTGATGACCAACCTCTGATGATGATGTATGGACAGAAAGAGCCTCGCTGTTGATAAGCATCAGAGCTTGGTCATCAGCTCTAAAGAAAGGGATTCGTCCCCGAAACGCGTCAACAATTTGACCGCACTGACAGTGAGAACACCTTGCCCGCCGTTGTGGCCATTGTCATTTTTCTATGCTTTTTAGATACATGCTTCGTCTGTGAGTATGTTTTTATTATTTCATTCCTACAATAAACCTTGGATAATGCACTAGGTGTGTGCGCCACCTGTTTTCTCTCTATCCATGTAACATGTAGCAACTTATTTATCCCAAGCTTTCTTTGGCTTAGATCAGTCAAGCAGTGGCTGGTTGTTGTATGTTTCTGCACTTTACCTATTGCCTATTAAATCAAAATCTATAATTGTGTGCCCTGCAACAAGCTTTAAGGTTTGCATCAAATATCCAAACCAACTTAATCTGCCTGGTTTATAAAAGGGTAAGTTATTGGTACGCTCTAGAATTTAAACTTTTTTTTTTCTTCTTGATAGATGACGACGAGTCGGATGAAGAAACGGTAAAGAAAGCCAACAAGTGCTCTTTAGTTTGGGAGGTGAGTAAACTCTTTTAGGTTAGGTTCACACCTGTGCAGTTTGTGTTTGAGCCGTTTCTGCATTGCGTTTTTGACGCGTTTTGCAGTTTGTTTGGGTTTTTTTTGTTGCTAGGCAGATTTAAAACGAATCAAAAAACACACTACATGCTTTTCTGCAGCGTTTCCATTTAAGTCTATAGAACCAAAAATGCAACTTTTTGTGTTACAAAAAGTCCCTGACCCTTTCCAAAAAACGCACCGGGTGAAAACGCGGAGATGTGAACGTGTTCCATAGGAAATAATGTTAAATGGACTGTACTGCGTTTCTGCAAAATGCTGCGGAAAACGCTTAGGTGGGAACCTAAGGTTGGTACCTGTCAGCAGAAGGCCTCTCTGCACCAAGTAATCCTTTATGGGAGTTTGTTAAAATGAATAATCTGACGACAGGGTGTCTTTAAGTTTCTTTTTTGAGCTGTAGTCTCTATTTTATATGATGCTCTCATATTTCTCAGCGCTGCACACAGAATAATAAACTGTATTAAATCCCTCCCTGTCCCTGAAAAACTTTTTATTGTGGAAGAACCATTGAAACAATCAGGTCTCAGGTCTGCAATAAAAATGGTTATAGCATCCACTCATAGCACGTTAGTTGCATCAGATTGGTGGTCAGTGAGAAAAGAGGTCGCTTGCACTGATGGTCATTGAGAAAAATGGCCATTACAATGGTGGTCATTGAAGGGCTCTTATACTTTGAGGGAAGTGAGGATCATGCTTCTTGCCTTGGTGGTCAGTGGGAAGAATATTCCCCTTTTACAGGCAGTGAACATGATCAACGGAGTCAGTAGTTACTTATCTGTAATATCAACGTGCAGCGCTAATAAAAATAAATGTGTGTTATAATCAATGATGACCAGTGAGATCATAAAAGAGAAAGGAAACATCATAAAAAAGAAATAGAGAATAGTGAATACTTCAATGAAGAAACAAAATGGACGGTATAACAAATGAAAATATATAAGTCCTCTTAATATAATAATAGTCCCAAAAATAGTGATCTGATCAAATCAACAAAATGTAGTGACTTCTGTGACTTCCGCACTGCACCTCCACCATAATGCACTCACCAGACTTAAGTAGCAAGCAAGCCCAGAACGGAATGACACTGAGGGGTGTTCCTGCTTGTTCCTCCTCCTGCCGGTGACCCGGTTGAAGGTGGGATCTCTCCAGTAGCCAGTGATGTTACCAAATGAACAATCAAAAGTAGAGTAGCAAGTCTTCATCTCCAGCTCACAGTGAACCAATTAAAGGGATTCCTCCTAGAGGACAAGCTCATAGACTAAGTCCGGAGACAGTATCATATAGTGTAGTATGTTTTATTAAAAAGATAGCAACCACGTGGAGCATAAAATCATCAATGGATAAAAGCACTTACAAAGATGGCCGCCGGACGTGGACACGTCAGCATTACGTCAGCATGTAGTCTCCTCTCTGATGCGTTTCGTGCACACGCACATTCTCAAAGGGATCCACCAGTTACTTATCTGAGAAACAAGAGGAAACACCGCAATGGCCTCTTTTCCCAAGTAGTGTCTCCAGATTCCATACAGACCGTGTCTTTGTGGTGGTTGGAAAAGGCCATCTTTCTTAGGAAAGCTTGTTGAATTATTTCAAAAGTAAAAACTGTACATGTATACATTAAAAAAAAAAAAGTTCATTTTGATTTTCTGTTGTAATATCATATTTGAATATTTGTGACTCTATTGTTAATATATACAACACAGCATGTTTTAAAAGGATTGGTCTACCCAAAATTGATTTAAAAGTCATAGGTGATGTCTGGTGGGCTGAATCATTTACTGGCCCCATGAATGAACCACTGGCTCTAGGGTAGCTTTTCTCCCGGATATTCCAACTTGAGCCTCATGCACACGGGCTTATGAAAATAAGATTTTTTTTTTCTGCCAGAATTTGACATAAAAAAAACCTCTAATGTTAACCTCTTCACGCCGACAGCGGCTGGGCCTTGACGTCGAGCGGCCGCATATTTGTGTACCATTTGTTAACAAACGTGGTGAGAGCTCTAAACCCCCCCCCCCCCCCCCTCCTCCTCCCCCAGCACGTGTCCATGTGCATCGGAAAGGTCCCCATCTCTCCTTGCGATCAGGACCTTTCCGATCATGTGACAGCCAATCATGGCAGTCACATGACCCTAAACCCTGCCTCCCGGTGTCAAAGTTCTTAAAGGGCCAGGAGGCGTCTGCGTGAAGGGGTTAAAAAGGGTTAAAATATATGTAACATACATTTACTTGCATACATGTAGCATTTATGTGCATTTTTTCTGCTCAAAAGTTTTTTAGAACTCTCCTGTTGGTAGGTTTTTTTCTTCATGTAAATGCATCTCTTCAAATACATCAGTAAATACCTGTGTGTGTATGGCCACATAGGCTAATGCAGAGTTGCTTTTACAGGCAAAAAAAAATGTATAAGTAGCATTTTTTTTATTTTTGTGGGCATGAGACCTTATTAACTAGCGGTTAAAGCAGGACTTCACTATATCTGAGCAATACAAACCAAAATCGCTGTTCAATTAATTTTTAATATTCAAAGCAAACGCCCTCATCCATCTGTCTGCTTTTTTTGCTGAGAAATCACTTAGAAAAATACACCCCCTAGGCCATCTTAAGTAAGGGCAGATGATCCGTTTAGCAATTACTTCCTGAAATCCATCTGCCCTTAGCTCAGCCATGCAAGCAGGAGGGTGTGTGTGCTTCACTGAAAAAGCCCCATCCCCTGAAGACTCCTGGGATGAATGACCTCATTTGCCTAGGCATGGAAACCAGGAAGTAACTAAAAAAATGTAAATGAAAAAACTGTTTAAAACAAGGACATATGATCGACCTTCCTATCTATTTACTAATGCTAGCAGCATGAGGATTAAAAATAGTCTGTGTTGATTGAGAGAGTGAAATTCCACTTTGAGGGTCTTGCACTTCCTGATTCTTTATATTGTTAAATTAGTCCAATAGAGAGAGAGAAGAAGTAGGTGGAGCTGGGAACAGATTGTGGGTTCAAAAATATGGCCATCCAGGTCCCTTCAGAAATACAGAAAGTGATGTCAAATTTTCATTTTTTTTTTTTTTTTTTTTTTTTTTTTTTGTTATCTGCCCAGAGCAAATGATCAGTTCTAGTTGGACTGATATGCAATTCTGCATTCTAGGCAGACATTAGACACAAATTATGCAATGATTAATACATCTTTAAATGTATTCTTAAATGCAGGCATCTGAATTCGAACTAGTATCAGCCTGTTGCCATCCCTGTACAGCAGCAGGGCTGGAGTGCGAGAGGAAGAAACTGCATAAGGAGCCAATCGGTTCATGTGCTGACAAGAAGCATGCTGGTGGGAGTCATTGTGCTGCTTCTCCTTACACTGTCCAGTCACAGGCAGGGGAAAGGTGTAAGATGACCTGGGCTCATAGATGCTCATAAAATTCTCATAAGATGATCTGGGCTCATAGGGGACAGGTGTAAGATGACCTGGACTCATAGATGCTCCTAAGATGACCTGGGCTCATAGGGGACAGGTGTAAGATGACCTGGGCTCATAGGGGACAGGTGTAAGATGACCTGGGCTCATAGGGGACAGGTGTAAGATGACCTGGGCTCATAGGAGACAGGTGTAAGATTATCTGTGCTCATAGGGGACAGGTGTAAGATGATCTGTGCTCATAGGGGAGAGGTGTAAGATGACCTGGGCTCATAGAGGACAGGTGTAAGATGACCTGGGCTCATAGGGGACAGGTGTAAGATGACCTGGGTTCATAGGGGACAGGTGTAAGATGGCCTGGGCTCATAGGGGACAGGTGTAAGATGGCCTGGGCTCATAGGGGACAGGTGTAAGATGGCCTGGGCTCATAGGGGACAGGTGTAAGATGACCTGGGCTCATAGGGGACAGGTGTAAGATGACCTGGGCTCATAGGGGACAGGTGTAAGATGACCTGGGCTCATAGGAGACAGGTGTAAGATGACCTGGGCTCATAGATGCTCATAAGATGATCTGGGCTCATAGGGGACATTTGTAAGATGATCTGGGTTCACAGATGCCCATAAAGTGCTCATAAGATGATCTGGACTCATAGGGTACAGGTGTAAGATGACTTGGGCTCACAGATGCTCATAAGATAATGTGGGCTCATTGGGGACAGGTGTAAGATGACCTGGGCTCATAGATGCTCATAAGATGATCCGGACTCATAGGGGACAGGTGTAAGATGACCTGGGCTCATAGGGAACAGGTGTAAGATGATCTGGGCTCAGAGGAAGTATGTTGAATGAGGCTGGCCATCAGACACAGTGGCAGAAAGAAAGCGCTATAGGGGAAATATCTGGATTGATGGTGAATACCAAAAGCTGGTTTGGTATTATATCAATTAACGAGCCAATGATTTGTATCTTATTTTGGCTGGAGTTCTGCTTTAATTACAGTGCTTAACATCCTGCTGCCAATGATAAAATACTACTTCCTAATTTCCAGGGAACAGCCAAAGATCGCAGCTTTGGAGATATCAAATTCAAACAGTGCCCCACAGAGAACATGGCTCGGGAACATTTTAAGAAGCACGGAGCTGAACACTACTGGGACCTGGCACTGAGTCAGTCAGTACTGGAGACCGCAGACTGATCTCCCTCGGCTCCGTGTCGAGGAGGGATTGACCCACGCTGCACTTCCCGCTGCTGAAATACAACCTCGAACTTTGGACACCTACAGATCCCCTGATCTCCTGAGCTGTGTTTGTTTACAACACCGGACTCCAACCATTACCCACATCTTCCGGGAAAACCGCAAACACAAAACTTGCCTCTTTATAAAATCCTGCTGCGGAATGGATGTTAACCCCGTAACTGCTTGATTTGTCTGAAACATTCTACACTTTGAGGCTTTTCTAGTGGCAAATGTGGTTAATGAATCTCCAAGCAAAGCAACCTACCTGGAAAACATATGTATCACCTGGATATTAAAAAAGAAAAAAAAAAATCAAAACTCTGCTGTAAAATGGTCTTCTTAGGTAATTAGAGGAAATGAGCCTCTGTGTTACCCACAACAGCCAATCGGATTTTAGCTGCCAGGTTTTCCCTGTGGGCTTGAAATTGAATGGCAGCATCAGGCTGGGGTGGGTAGAACAGATTCTCTTTCCTTTTAGTTCCTATACATCGGGTCGTTGTGTCTGTTTTGGTCCAAAGTCTTCCTCTGTAAGAGCAAATCAGTTACTCGACTAGAGGTCAGCTATTGCAGGGTGTACCATTTCTTTTTTCCTGCGGCATGGTCCATTCATAATCAATATTCACCTTAGTCTTTTGTTCTAATTTGTAGGTTTATCAGCAAATTGTATGTATAGCACCTTTCATAATAACTACTATGATAAAGAGATTGTAATAGAGCAAGGTGTGGTATAATTACAATGACTATTTTTTTTTTCTCTCTTAATGGCATGTTCTTACTTGAACACCCTGTCTTTTCAGCAGATGGCAGTAGGCCATCGTGCACTCCCGTAAAGTGGTTTGCTGGAACCGTATTCATTTCTATCTCTGCATCTGGCCTACAAGTAGAACCGTTTCTGACATCTCCACCAACAAGCGAGCCAGAAACCCCACCCACCTGAATTTGGGTTGTCAGTACTGTAGTCACCGTACTAAAGTGGACCTTGCAGAAGATCTGCTTGTACACACAGTGCCTTCTCTGCCCTATCTAAATTCATCAGTTTAATGCTTTAAAAAAAATAGAAAACATACAGGCGTACCGCGGTTTATGAATTTGATGCGTACTGTGGGACGTTTTGTATAGCGAAAAAGTTGTAAACCGAAACGCGGTTTTCCCATAGGAATGCATTGAAAACCAATTAATCCTTTCCGGAGGTCAGAAAAAAGTAAAAAAAAAAAGTTTTATCTGTTCAAAACTCTTTTATAAAGTGCACTTTAAAGGCAGAAACACTGTACAGGGACATGATTTAAAATTAATTTGTAAATGCCTTGAAAACCAATTAATCTGCTCCGATGGTCAGAAAAAAGTAAAAAAAAAAGTTTTATCTGTTCAAAACTCTTTATAAAGTGCACTTTAAAGGCATAAATACTGTACAGGGACATGATTTAAAATTAATTCGGAAATGCATTGAAAACCAATTAATCCGTTCCGGAGGTCAGAAAAAAGTAAAAAAAAAAAGTTTTATCTGTTCAAAACTCTTTTATAAAGTGCACTTTAAAGGCAGAAACACTGTACAGGGACATGATTTAAAATTAATTTGTAAATGCATTGAAAACCAATTAATCTGCTCCGATGGTCATAAAAAAGTTAAAGAAAAAAAGTCTTTTAATCTATTCAGAACTCTTTATAAAGTGGACTTTAAAGGCATAAATACTGTACAGGGACATGATTAAAAATGAATTCGTAAATGCATTGAAAACCAATTAATCCGCTCTGGAGGTCAGAGAAAAGTAAAAAAAAAAAAGTCTGTGTTCAAAACTCTTTATAAAGTGCACTTTAAAGGCATAAATACTGTACAGGGACATTTTAAAAATTAATTAATAAATGCACTGAAAACCAATTAATCCGTTCCGGAGTTCAGAAAATAGTAAAAAAATAAAAAAGTCTTATCTGTTCAAAACTCTTTATAATGTACACTTTAAAGGCACGGGGCCGGCGCTATAAACGCTTTGTATTGCAAAACAAATTCGTAAACCAAGGCCTTATTTTCAATGGATTTTCATTCGTAAACCTAAAAGTACGTTAATCGAGGCATTCGTAAACCGCGGTACGCCTCTACTTATCTTACCCCTGCCATCTGCACTGGAGAGGTCAAAGTCATGATCCTTTTACTTATATTGTAGCATCTTAGGCCTCATTCAGACAAGGGATCAGACCCGTCCTTTGATTAGAGACGCTGTCTGCTGCATGTGAACCCAACTTGGAGCTGCTTGCTGTTCACCCATAGAAGTGGATTCAAATGCAGCGGCTGCATGGATACAGTCACTTATCAAAATGTGACATGGGGGCAGGAACTGGTGGACAAGTCCAAACGGAGACACTGGGAATGATTTACTAAAACTGCACGGTGCAAAATCTGATGCAGATCTGCATAAAAACCAATTAGCTTCCAGGTTTTTTTTTTTTTTGTCAAAGCTTAATTGAATAAGGTAGAAGCTGATTGGCTACCATGCACAACTGCACCAGATTTTGCACTCTCTGGTTTTAGTAAGTGACCCAACCGTGTGCTTGGGTCCATGCACCTGCTCCTTTATGTCAGATTTTGACATGCGACCTTGTTCATACAGCCAATGTGTCGGCATCCACTTCTGTGGGCTGCCTCCGAGGTGAATTCATTTGCACCGGACAAACTCAAAATGGACTTTAAATTGGTACTAGTCAGAGCTTATACAGCAGGGGGTGTCAAACTGGCAGCCCTCCAGCTGTTGCGAAACTACAAGTCCCATCATGCCTCTGCCTTTAGTAGTCATGCTTGCAACTGTCAATATTGCAATGCCTCATGGGACTTGTAGTTTGGCAACTACTGGCAACAGCTGGAGGGCCGCCAGTTTGACACCCGTGTTATACAGGGCTGAGAATGCTCTCTTTCTGTGCCATGGCATTGGTGCCTGAATGACCATTTAACAAGTACCAGCTCATGGGAGGAATCAAAGTGATTCTCATTGTAATGCACAAGTACTCTTCAGCCACATTGCTATCTCTTTGTCATTATTCTTAGTACCAAAGGAGAAATATAGTTTTCAGGAGAAGGTATGCATGCTTAAAAATACAGTTGGTTATGAATGAATCATTGCGCTGCAGGAGAGAAAAAGTGATGATTTGTCCTTTTAATTAACTTGAAGAGAATTTCTTAAAGTGTTACTAAACCCACAACAGTACAATCAGTCTGTATATGCAGTAAATCATGCTTGTTATACTCCCTGTGGAACCTAAAGGGTTAATCCTCTGTATTCTGTAAAAAGGCTGTTTGATCCTGACTGCTCTACTCCTCCCCTTGTTCAAGCGACCACCTCTTCTCTCCTGATAAGACAGACTGAACCGTAGGCATGTGCACATGTTCAGTTTGGTGTGTATTGCTAGAGAGTTTTTTTTTTTTTTTTCTTGGGAGAGTGCATGTGATCAGCACAGGGCCAATCAGCACTGGTCAGACAGAGGTCAGGGGTTTTGCATCCTCCTAGAGCAGAAAGAAAACTCCTCCTGCAAGCTTTAGCTAGTGCTCAGCTGAACACTGATAGAAGCCACAAGACTGCTCTAACTGCTGATGAGAAAAGGTATTTTTGCAGTTTATATTTACTAAATTAATTGCATTTTCATGTTCTGTGTACTGTAGGAGAGCGGATCTAGTGAATGCGGGGTCCGGGAGAGCGGATCTAGTGAATGCGGGGTCCGGGGGAGAGCGGATCTAGTGAATGCGGGGTCCGGGGAGAGCGGATCTAGTGAATGCGGGGTCCGGGGAGAGCGGATCTAGTGAATGCGGGGTCCGGGGAGAGCGGATCTAGTGAATGCGGGGTCCGGGGAGAGCGGATCTAGTGAATGCGGGGTCCGGGGAGAGCGGACCTAGTGAATGCGGGGTCCGGGGAGAGCGGATCTAGTGAATGCGGGGTCCGGGAGAGCGGATCTAGTGAATGCGGGGTCCGGCGAGAGCGGATCTAGTGAATGCGGGGTCCGGCGAGAGCGGATCTAGTGAATGCGGGGTCCGGGGAGAGCGGATCTAGTGAATGCGGGGTCCGGGGAGAGCGGATCTAGTGAATGCAGGGTCCTGGGTTTAGTAACACTTTAAATATGTGACCTTCTGAGGGTGGAGGACTGAAATTGGGAGACTTTGGAATAAGGTACTGAAACTTGTGAAAGAACTTGTGTTTTGGTTTCATTTAAATAGGAACACGTTCTGGTTGTTATGAGCAGAGTTGAGCTTACATTAAAGCCCGTTTGAAATGACTTAATCAGATTACTGTTGTATAGCAGTCAGACTGCATATACAGTAATAGCTTTGCCACTTTTTGCTTTGGCAAGGGTTAAAAATACCCTCTGCTGGCAGCACTAGAAGAGTCAGACCGAAAGCAATGGCCCTGGTCTCCAGTGGTCCGGTAAGTCCCCAATTAGCAATGCTACTCAAGGAGCAAGAGCTCAGTATGGGGAGAGGGGTGTGTTGGGCTGCTTGAGAGTCAGACCTCTACCCTATATAGGAGCCGCTGTCTGACTCTCGCCTAGTGCGGTCAGCTCTGAGCATTTTAATCCTTCCCACAGCAGATTATAAAAGTGTCATATCCATTACTACATATGCAGCCTGACTGCATTACAGTAAACAAAATAAACCACTCCAGGATTATTTTTTTTTTATTCTGGAAGAAAATATCAGTTTTAAAATAAGGCTTGTTTTATTTTTCTTTCGTTCAGTCAATTTTTTTTTTCCTTTGGAAAACAATAGCCTTATTTGCCATACTTGAAGTTACCTGTATTGTTTCATAGAAACATAATTAAACTACAAAAAAAACACAGCCTATGTGTGGATGGTCTTTGTAACATTTCTTAAAATTTCTGTTGGCTGTTCAGTGAAATATTGAAATTGTATTACCTTTTAAATTAAAGCTAACTACTTTTGATTTAAAAAAAAATGTGAATTTACAAATAATACACCCTCTACTATTGGCCCCCCATTCTCCTGAGCTGGGTTATGTTACCGAATGCAGACCGTGATGTAATAATTGTGACCTGTGCTGGGTGACGGCTTTGTACACTCTTTATAGCAGTAGTCCGCCTGTTATGTTAGAGATGAAGGGGGACCATTTCTAGCCTCAGACTGCCCACCTCCTCACTATGAGGCATAACTTTTGGGGGCCACTGTATTTCTGTGAAGGATGTAAAGAAACAAAATGTGCTGATCACATCAAGGTACTCCTGCATCTGATGTCTGCAATATTCAGTGGATATAAAAAGTCTACACATCCCTGCGATGTAAAAAAAAAATGAGACAAAGATAAATCATTTCAGAACTTTTTCCACCTTTAATGTGACCTATAAACTGTACAACTCAGTTGAACAGCAAACTGAAATCTTTTAGGTGGAGGGAAGTAAAAATAAAAAACTAAAATAATATGGTTGCATAAGTGTGCACACCCTTACACTAATACTTTGTTGCAGCACCTTTTGATTTGATTCCAGCACTCTTTCTGGGGAGGAGTTAGCATGGCACATCTTGACTTGGCAATATTTGCCCACTCCAAATCTGTCCGATTGCGAGGGCATCTCCTGTGCACAGCCCTCTTCAGATCACCCCACAGAATTTCGATCGGATTCAGGTCTGGGCTCTGGCTGGGCCATTCCAAAACTTTAATCTTCTTCTGATGAAGCCATTTCTTTGTTGATTTGGATATATGCTTTGGTTCGTTGTTATGCCAAAAGATGACGTTCCTCTTCATGTTCAGCTTTCTAGCAGAAGCCTGAAGGTTTTGTGCCAATATTGACTGGTATTTGGAACTGTTCATAATTCCCTCTACCTTGACTAAGGCCCCAGTTCCAGCTGAACTCCAAAGCATGATGCTGCCACCACCATGCTTCACGGTGGGTATGGTGTTCTTTTGGTGATGTGCAGTGTTTTTTGTTCCAAACATATCTTTTGGAAGTCTGGCCAAAAAGTTCAACTTTGGTTACATCAGACCATAACACAATTTGCAACATGTGTTTGGGAAACCTCAGATGTGTTTTTGCAAAATTTAGCCGGGCTTGGATGTTTTTCTTCGTAAGAAACGGCTTCCGTCTCGCCACTCCACCCCATAACCCAGACATATGAAGACTACAGGAGATTGTTGTCACATGTACCACACAGCCAGTACTTGCCAGATATTCCTGCAGCTCCTTTAATGTTGCTGTAGGCCTCTTGACCGCCTCCCAAATCAGTTTTCTTCTCGTCTTTTCATCAATTTTGGAGGGACGCCCAGTTCTTGGTAATGTCACCGCTGCACCATATTTTCTCCACTTGATGATGACTGTCTCCACTGTTTTCCATGGTATATCTAATGCTTTGGAAATTCTTTTGTACCCTTCTCCTGACTGATACCTTTTAAGAATGAGATCCCTCTGATGCTTTGGAAGCTCTCTGCGGACCAAGGCTTTTGCTGCAGGATGCGACTAAGAAAATGTCAGGAAAGACCTACTAGAACAGCTGAATTTTATTTGGGGTTAATCAGAGGACCTTTAACTGATGGCAGGTGTATACTGACTCCTATTTAACTTGACTGTGAATGTGCCTAATTCTGAACACCGCTACATCCCCAGATCAAAGAGGGTGTGCACTTATGCAACCACATTATCTTAGTTTTTTATGTTTACCCCCCCCCAAAAAAAAAAAAAAAAATTCAGTTTGTTTTTTTAGTAGAGTTTTACAGTTTATAGGTCACATTAAAGGTGGAAAGAGTTTTGAAATTATTTGTCATTTTTATACATCACAGAAACCTGAAATTTTAACAGGGGTGTGTAGACCTTTTATATCCACTGTAGACAGTATGACATGTACTTATTTGTTAAACCAGTGGTCTCCAAACTGTGGCACAGAGCAGGATGTAGCCCTTTGCCTGTCATTTATCTGGCCCTTGGAGCACTATTCCTCCCACTGGACACCATTGATGGGACACTAGTCCTCCCACTGGACACCATTGATGGGACACTAGTCCTCCCACTGGACACCATTGATGGGACACTAGTCCTCCCACTGGACACCATTGATGGGACACTAGTCCTCCCACTGGACACCATTGATGGGACACTAGTCCTCCCACTGGACACCGTTGATGGGACACTAGTCCTCCCACTGGACACCGTTGATGGGACACTAGTCCTCCCACTGGACACCGTTGATGGGACACTAGTCCTCCCACTGGACTCCATTGATGGGACACTATTCCTCCCATTAAAACCAATGATGGGGTATTTTCTACTCCCAATGGCCACAGTTTGGCCCCCAGTAAAGCCTGAAGGACCATAAACTGGTCCTTTGCTTAGAACGTTGGGAGACCCCTGCATTAAATGTATGACATTGCACTTCATGAGTGGTGATGGGGGTGGGGGGGCAAGACCAATCACCCTGTACGAGGAGAGGGAGCAGCAGTGACTGGGCTTTATTACAAGCAACTCCTGTACAGTTGCAAAAGTGTAGGATGTGTTTTATACTGGATTACTACACAGATCTGCAAAGGAAAAAATATTCAAGTGAAGGGTACAGATGGTTCTTTTCTTTAGACAGTATTTATTAAGCACACATTTCACATCTGCTGGAAAACTCATAGCTTTTACTCTAGAGCAGAGGTCTACAAACTTTTCAAACAAAGAGCCACTTAAGGGGGGTCGGATTGTGGCCAGTGGGGGAAGAAAATGTCCTGGGCCCAGCACAGTGAGAATAAGCATGAGCTTGGAGTTGGTGGTCAGTAGGAGGAGGAATAGTGCCCCATCACTGGTATTAGTGGGAGGAATAGAGCCCCATCTGGTATCAGTGGGAGGAATAGTGCCCCATCATTGGTATCAGTGGGAGGCATAGTGCCCCATCACTGGTATTAGTGGGAGGAATAGAGCCCCATCTGGTATCAGTGGGAGGAATAGTGCCCCATCATTGGTATCAGTGGGAGGAATAGTGCCCCATCACTGGTATTAGTGGGAGGAATAGAGCCCCATCTGGTATCAGTGGGAGGCACAGTGCCCCATCATTGGTGTCAGTGGGAGGAATAGTGCCCCATCATTGGTGTCAGTGGGAGGAATAGTGCCCCATCATTGCTATTAGTGGGATAAATAGTGTCCCATCATAGCTATTAGTGGCAGGAATAGTGTCCAATCATTTGTATAAGTGGAGGAAATGGTGCCCCAATGTTGATATCAATGGGAGGAATAGTGCCTCATCACTGTATCAGTGGAAGAAATGGTGCCCCATCATTGGTGTCAGTGGGAGTAATAGTGCCCCATCATTGGTGTCAGTAGGAGGAATAGTGCCCCATCATTGGTGTCAGTGGGAGGAATAGTGCCCCATCATTGGTGTCAGTGGGAGGAATAGTGCCCCATCATTGGTATCAGTGGGAGGAATAGTGCCCCATCATTGGTATCAGTGGGAGGAATAGTGCCCCATCATTGGTGTCAGTAGGAGGAATAGTGCCCCATCATTGGTGTCAGTGGGAGGAATAGTGCCCCATATTTGGTATTAGTGGGAGGAATAGTGCCCCATATTTGGTATTAGTGGGATGAATAGTGTCCAGTTATTGGTATAAGTGGCGGAAATGGTGCCCTATTTTTGGTGTCAGTGGGCGGAATAGTGCCCCATCATTGGTATCAGTGGGAGGAATAGTGCTCCATCATTTGGTATCAGTGGGAGGAATAGTGCCCCATCATTGGTATTAGTGGGTGGAATGGTGCCCCATCATTGGTATTAGTGGGCGGAATAGTGCTCCATCATTGGTATTAGTGGGAGGAATAGTGTCCCATCATTAGGAATAGTGCCCCATCATTGGTGTCAGTATCAGAAATAGTGCCCCATTATTGGTGTCAGTATCAGGAATAGTGCCCCATCATTGATATTAGTGTGGAAGGAATAGTGCCCCATCTTTGGTATTAGTTGAAGTAATAGCACCCTTAGTTGATCTCAGGTATCAGTGGGAAAAACAGTGTTTCATCATTTATATCAGTGGGAGGAATTAAGCCCCATAGTTGGTGTTGGTGAAAGGAATATTTCCCCAGCTTTATTGTTAGTGGGAGGACTTATGTGTCTGTTGGTGTCAGTAGAAGGAATGGTGCCCCCTTGTTGGTGTCAGCGGGAGGAATAGTGCTCCAAGGGCCAGATAAAGGCAAGCAAAGGGCCGCAGCTTGGAAAACACTGCTCTAGAGCAATGCTAGCACATAGGTATTACTCTAGAGTAGCGGTCTCCAAACTTTCTAAACAAAGTACCAGATTACAGTCCTTCAGACCTTAAAAGAGAAGTATGGGAATAGTTTTTTTTGTTTCCTAAATTATACTTACCTAGGTGGATACAGCATCTGTCCCCCACTGGCTCTAAGTGAGAACTCACAGCCACTCTGAGCTCTGTTGGTATAGGTGGGAAGAATTATTCCCCATTGTTGGTGTCTGTGCAAGGAATAGTACCCTATCCCTGCTGTCATTGGAAGGGATGGTGTCCCGGTGTTGGTGTAAGTGGGAGGAATGGTGCCCCATTGTTAGTGGATGGAATAGTGTGCCCCACTGTTGGTGTCAGTGGATGGAAAAGTGCCTCATCATTGGAGTCAATGAAAGTAATAGTCTCCCATTATTGGTGTTGGAAGAAACAGTTGGTGTCAGTACGAGGAATAGTGCCCCAAGAGCTGGATAAAGGCAAGCAAAAGGCCACAGTTTGGAGACCACTGCTCTATCACAATACTGGTGTCTCCGCTCTGTGGCCAATGATTTCAATAAAAGCACACCTTTTACAAGGGGTTTACATAAGGTTCTGACTGCTGTTTCTGGTCAATTGAAGCAGAAGATAGATGCATGTTCATTTCATTCATGCAGTTAAATTTGTACACTTTCCAAGGAAAATTGAACATCTAAAGGTTTTTTTGTTTGTTTTTTTTTTTCACTTTTACATACATTTATTCACCTACAGTACATAAAATTCATGTGTGAAAGGATACTTTGCATTCATTTTATGACATGTTTTCTGTGTTTGGCAGATGGTTTCGTGTGGAATGTTGGATTTGTTTCAACAAAAGCTTTATAAAGTAGGAAACAGGGATTTAGCCCATCTCCTATCACCTAAATAACCTTTTTTTTTTTTTTTTTTAATTTGACACTGTACCATGATTGTCTGCCTAATTTCTAGAATAAACAGACTTCGTTTCCCTCTGAATTTTTTTTCACATGCACAATTTTAAGATTGTAAACTTTACATTCGAATACATGGGGTTTGCCATTGTTCAGCTTTTTAAGAACTTGGCTGTTATGTCAGGAAATTAGCAACTGGCTTCAGTACATTCTGAGTCACTGACCTGAAACAAGTGTTAAAGTCCAACTCCAACCCCGAGTTCTGTTCTCCCTCCCTCCCTTCTAGAGTCCCTGAGTTCCAATGCACCTGCTGTTCCAAGTCTTGTTCTACGGATATTAGAAACACCCTGACAAGGTATTTGCTCACCTCAAGTGCTCATTGGCCTTCTACCCATTTGTTTAAAAGTGGTCTGCCTCCCACTGTGGCTTCAGCAGTGTCCTGCCTTCTACAAAGTGGCCTCCATACAAATGAAGGATGTACCTGTCTTAGGATCTAAACAATAACTGGTTTAAATAACTCTCTAGAGCTTTGTTCTTGCTGGCAAGCCCTGCTTTTCACCCCACTTGGGTGTGACTCTGTTTGACCAAATCTTGGCTGACTGGTAAAAGTCCCTTAAAGGGATCCTGCCATGACTGCAGTGGATTCCTTGACCATAAAACAGTTGGAGCAAATTGTAGCCTTAATCTACAGTTATGTCAGGTTGCTAGAGCTTTCCCATTTTATCTCTTGCTTGGGTCTTTTATCCATACGCTTGTGGAGGACACTGGTTTAGGTGCTAGTCTGTAGAAGCCACATCTAAAAAGAGACTGATCTGCATGGCTTGGAGGGACAGCATATTTTCAGAACTTCTTTAATTACCATTATCAAATATTCTACTGCTGCGAGGTGGTAGATGCTGAGGGAACAGACTTCAAAATATCCCCTCTGTCTGTTAAATGTCCTTTTTCTTTGTCTACTCTTGCAACATCCAGGTCCAGACCCCCCAAGCCTGGCTTACAGCCAACCCCCAAGGTCTGGGGCTCAGTCCACCAAATCCTCAGATAAACTTTCCTCACAATTTAGAGTGGAGGCACGTTTGTTAACCTTTGAAGACTCTTGGACAGCTTGCATTTCAGATGCCTGGGTGCAGATGGTCTCCAAGCTGTAATAACGCTTTCTGCCCCCTCCATGTTTTCTAACCTTCCTGTCATTACACAGTTTAGCAGATCTCCACTGAGCCTTCTCAGGTCTTTTGGATCAAGGTATGATTGCCCCAACTGCTATGGCAAAACAGTATTAGGAGTTTTAGTCCAAACTTTTCACCATTACCAAGTCCAAAGGGAGCATTTGCCCTATTTTGGATCTCAAAGCTCTGAATATCTTCATTCAGGCTCAGAAATTCTGTGTGGAATTCGCCAGGACTGTCATCTCCTTTTACCAGGGAGATTGTCTAGCTTCTGTGAATTTCAAGGACATGTACCTACATGTCCCCACCTTCATCTGCAGTGAGAAGTCAAGGTTCAGGATCAAAGGAATCCTTATCCTTCATAAATACTTGCTGTAACTGATACATTGTTTGACCTGCATTGTGTCTAGGACTAGACCAAGTAACTCCAAGGTGTTTCTTTCACAGGATGTCAGACACTCTGTTTTGAGCTCTCCTGTCCAGGGGTCACCCGACTCTCCACTTTTGCATGAGTTTTGAGCCTGTTGGCAGTCTTCTTTAAGGTGGTCCCATTTGCACAGTTTCACTCCAGATGTCTACAACACAAAACACCTATTGTCATGGGACAAGTTAATGCAGTCCCTGGACAGTCCAGTTCATCACGGAGGTTGAGTTATCTGTGGCTTGATGGCTCAGGAATAGGAAAGTCCTTTCTTTCCTGTATTTTGGAAGATCCTCACGATGGGTGCCAGCCTGCTAGCTGGTAGGGGGGCCTTGGCGCCCTGTTGGTGCAGGGGACTTGGCTGTCAGGGTTTGTCATAGTATCCGATCAACATCCTGTAACTTTGGGAGAGTTGGCTGTCTGCAACATTGGACTATCCTTCTGGAGGATCATCTGATCCGGATTCATTTGTACGAAGCCATGTCAGTTGCATACAGCAATCATCAGAAAGAGCCAAAAGTCTTGCTGCAGCAAGAGAGGTGGAGTGGATCCGGTCCTGGACAGAACTTCGCATTCCAGCCTTCTCTGCCATATACATTCCAGGTGTGGACAGTTGGCAGACCGTCTTCCTGAGCCAGCAACGTCTAGACCACGGAGA